ATGAGCTAGCATAAGCGCTAATCTGTAGCTATGTGTTCTTGCCTCTCTGTGGTTAAATTCTCATGGAGGAATAGGAGGATTAAGAAATATATGCTGATATAAAAATTAGCTTTATTAAAGAAATATGTGAATATCAGAATATGTGTGCACAATTTGAGAGGCGAGGGCAATATGCAATTAAACAATGAAATGCAAAATAAATCATTTGTCTGGCAGGTTTGACATAACCTCCATATGTTCTGGGTGTCTTACGCACTTGGAATAGGCTTCTCTTTTTGTTGTTTGTCCCCAAAAGGCTAGTGTGCATTGGCTCAATTATCTCCAGGTTCTGGACCTTAATAACAAATAAAAAGTATAGCATCCAGATTTAACAGTTTTCCAACACTTGCCACCACAAAATAAGAATCTACAGGTAGATGTACAATGGCTGATAAAGGATTTTAGTTGCAGGTGTGATGAAGGAGACTCATGGATGATGGATCAATATTCTACAGCGATACAAAAGAAAAAAAGTTATTAACAACTGTACCTGGTAGATTCAATATTCATGTGGTCAAATGATCCATTAAAAGTGACCTGGAACAAAAACAGACTAAACTGCTTAGTCTAACCCCCAACAGACATACAGAAGCAACACTGGTTTCAGTTTGATCTTGAAGTACAGATTTAATATTATTTGGTATGTATGAATGGTTTCGGAAGCTGTACAAACAAAAAAAAGCCTACACAGACAGTGTGTAAAAGTGTGTACCCCAAAAAGTGTATACCAAGAGTATTTTTTATCATTCTTTCACCTTCAAAAAATACGTTTCTTACATAACAAAGGATGGGTCGGAGAAACCGAACACCGAATCAAAAGAACCGAATACGCAACCAAAACAATCGAACTGCAAGAAAATCGAAACCGAACTCAAAAAACCGAACCATAGTTGTTTGGTTTTGGTTTCTATTTTCACATCCTAAAACCGAACCGAACCGAATAAACCGAACTTTTAAAACTTGTTTTTTGATTTATTAGTCATCAAGTATAATATTTTGTTTAGTTCTTAATTCTTACTTTTAGAAAATTAATGTTTGATACTAGATTTTTTATGATTTGCAAGATATTGCCACATAAAATTTATGGTTTAATTAAGTGAAAACACGTCTACACACTTAAGTCTAATGCTAAAGTACTCATATGTTGATATTCTAAATCGTAATTTACATTTTGCTTGGTGTTGCAAGATAATATTTTTTTGTTGATATAATATGTTATGTACTACTATTCTACCCGTGCGATGCATGAGAGAATAATATTTGCAAATTAGGGAAAAGTTTATTAAAACCGACTTTTGTCATGTAAACGCGTATATTTGGTCATACTAATTGTGGATGAAATTTTTTTAATTTACAAAATTTTACTTTTTATGTGTTTTGTTGATCATCACTATTATGAAATATTGACAGAGTAAATGTATTAGACTCAAAATAAATCTTAACCACATGAATTCATTTGAGTTTTTTCTTAAATTCAGGACAAAGAGCGATTCTTTGTTTATAAACCCTCCACTTACCATATTTTTTATTTAGTCAACCCCGTTCATTTTTTACTCTTTTATTTTCCTATTAATTATTTTTCATATACCATTTAAAGGTTTGCATAATAAAAAAGTTTTGTGTAATAATAACGAAATATAAAAAAATATCTAAATAAGAGAAGTGAAAGTATTATTAACCAAAAGTTGTAATTATATTAAAAAAAATAAAATGAAGTTTATATTCAATACTTCTCAATCACACGTATTAGGAAAATCGAAATTTGAACACTGCTAATCTCATTTATAGATATTGTACAAAAACAATACCAGTATATCTGTAATTTTGTGGACATGAATTGACATGTGACAATCCACAATAATGATAACATTATTAGCCATATAACCATTTTTCTCCATTTTCTTGAGCATATCTCTAGCATCTTCTAGCAAGCCTCCTCAACAAAGTCCAATGATCATACTAGTATAAAAAATGCTTAGTGTACATCCAATGTACACGGTTTGTACACCATAATACCGTATAAAAGGGGAAAATTAAATTTTTTACCCCTATCCCCACCTCTCCCCCATGTGTGAACCCCTCTTCCCAAGCTCCCGCCTCGCCACTTCCATCTCTCCCCCATGTTCGAACTTCCCCAAAACTCCCGCCTCGCCACTTTCTTCTTCCTCGCCGGTTCGCAGCGCAAATCTCCCCCACGGATTTCTTCTTCCTCACCTCTCCACGTCCATCCCCTGAAGAACCCCCCGACGTCTACCCTCAAGAACCCCTCGCGAAGCATCCTCGACGTCTACCCTCAAGAACCAAGCAGCGAAATGGTCCGTTCGTCACTGTCATCTTTGGCTGAGGCTTCAAAGAGAAGGTAATATCTACTTCTTGAACACATTTGTGAGTAGTATTGTTTAATTTGACCCCCTAATGTGTGGTTTGTTTTGAACACATTGTGTTTGTTGTTAAATTTTTTTATTTTGAATTCATTATGGTATTTCGAAGTGTACACTTGAAAAAATGAGTTTGATGAAGTAGAAGTACACTGTAATGGTCGGATTCTTGAATTGTGAATTTGTCTGTGGGATCTAGGTATACTTTCTGTGGCCAGATAATTTAGGGCATACGATTTATTATGATGAAACTTGTTGTCTGTATTTACATTTCACTTGATTTGATAACAGATTTTATTTTGTAATGAATAGGGTATTGTGTTTGCATTAAATTTGATGTTAGTGTGTAAAAAATATGACTTCATTTGTAATATTTGTAGGATGAAGCATGAACTATTGCTTCCCGTAAAGTCCCATTTCCCGGTACAATATTCACAGTGCACATACTTTGGGAAATTGGGTAACTTGTTGGACTCCATTCCAATCAGTCAACGGGAGGTCTTCAAGAAGCTTCCATGGGCTCATTTTGCTAAGACGCCAGAATTGCAGTTTTCTGGCCAAATTGTGCATATGTTGGTGTTGCGGCTGGTTCGGCAACAACATGTGGATGAACTTTGGTTTTCCATTAGAGGGAAGATCTTTAAGTTCACGTTTAAAGATTTTTGTGAAATAACCAAGCTGCCAGCGTACACCACCAGACCAACTTTTGAAAAAAAATGAGAAAGGTAGTGTGGGTGATATGTTCTTTAAAGGTAACAAGCGAGTTGAAGGAAACAATGGAGGCCGTGAATCCAAAGAAGAGGATTGACCCGTTAGCTTTTGTGAAGTTGGCTTCCCTTTTCGTTGTTGATGGTGTGTTGCTGACTAGAGACCATGGCACAAAGAACAATGCTGATCATTTTGATTGGGTTGAAGACTTTGACAACTTTCAAAAATATCCTTGGGCACTGGAGTCATATAACCTTATGGTTAGCAATTTGAAGTCGTTGATGTGTGGGCAACTGGAGAAGTTTGAAGCTGCGTTAGCTAAGAATCCTGGCTACAAGAACGCTAAGTTCACAGTTTGGTCTTTACCGCATGTGTTGCAGGTTGGTTTTAACTTCGTTTGTCTATTTAAAAAATCGTCTGTGTGACAGTCTGAATTTGTCTGTGGCCTGACATTTGTTTAAGTATTTATTTAGTTGTTTATGCAGGTTTAGGCGTATGAGAAAATCCCTGGACTTGCGGGAAAATGCGGTCAAAAAGTGAAATCTGAAGCAGCTAGCATTTTGAATTAGAAAGTTGTTTGGTTCTTCCATCTCTCTTCTCTGAAGGAACTAGTATTCACCGATGAGCCTTTAGAAGAAGAAACTGTAAGATGTTGTTAAAATTCTTTTTCAATAATATCCATGACGTCATATTACAACTTTCAGTCTATTTAATTCACGTGTATTTTAGGATGATGACAAGGATGGTGAAGAAGATTATGACGAAGCAGGTGATGAAGAAGAAATTGGTATGAAAGATGAGGATATCAAACTATTTCGTAAATTGAAGGTGATAGAAGAACTTTCAAAAACAAGGGATGAAATTGAACAATTGAGAGGTAGTGTTAGAGGCATTGAGGCCACACTTGGTGAAGTCAAGGACATGTTATCTAAGTTGATGTGGTGGTTCTGCAAGGTAAAAACGAGGTGGCTACTGAAAAGAAGGTATTCTTTCAAAATGTCTCTGCATGTCATAATATTTGTCTGTGAATGCTATGTAATTGTCTGTGAACCTACATGTTATTGTCTGTGAATCAGGAAGTGCCCACTGTCGAAGAGAAGACCGGTTCTGTTCAAGATAAGCAGCGTACTGAGCATGAAATGCCAGAAGTGGACAACGAATAGAAGGTATGTATACCAAATGACTTTGCACTTTGGCTTTGTAAATGTCTGTGTACTTAGTGCATAATGTCTGTGAAACTATTATCTTTTTGGCATCTTTGTGATTCAGAGGCTGAGGAAGAAGATGAAGTCCAAAGTGGAGCTGATGAAGATGATAAGGCTGATGAAGATGATAAGGCTGATGAAGATGATAAGGGAGCTGAGGAAGAAGATTTGAAGCATGGCACTACGGACGTGTTAATTGAAGAGAGGCTGATCAAGATGATAAGGGAGCTGAGGCAGAAATGGTGCTTGTGCCCACGGCCGAAAAGGTACGCTTTGTAATTGTGTGTGCAGGTGATTTCGAATGTGTGTGTACTTACATGTGTTTGTTTGTGAAGGAGCAGGATGTTGATGCCAGTGTTCACCCTTTGCCTAAATAAACCCTCATAAGCTTTATTTTGGAAGAAGTTAGTGCCTAATTTTTTCATTTAGTAATTGTTTTGAGGACTCATTAATGATTTCTTAATATTACGTATATCGTAGTTGAATGATACGGATCTGGTCTTAGGAGATTGTGAGTCACCCCTTCCTAATAAGGTTAACTTCTTACCATTATCTTGACATAACACTAAGTATGTTTACAAACTTGTTTACAATCCTTCTCAATGAACAGTAATTTATCATAACCGCCCGCTTCTACTACGGCGGAGGTGTAGGTTTTGTGAAGAGGTATTCCAGCAACAATATTTATTTCAATTTTTCTCCTCATGTTCATAGTCAATCTCCTGTTACAACGTAAAGCTCTAGTTTTGGTTGGACTCATGGGGTGGTTATGCTCTTCATGCACTTTCGAAATTACCCATGACCCGGCATAGTCATACATCACTTTGATTCAGGCTTTGCAACCTATTGCACTAGTAGCTCCAGGCAACAAAGAATTTGTGGACTTTGAAACTCTTTTTCCAGCACGGCCACATTCGTGTAACATTCATGTTATGTTTCCTTGTTTGTCTTTCGTTGAGCTCCTGATTCTAATGGGAAAACCTATACGTTTTGCATAATTCTTATAGTGATCATATGCATCATCTTTTCCCGGAAACAACATCCCAACTTCTACACGGACGTCTGGTGTACCACCATCTACATTTGTGTTGTCCGGATCTGAGTCAAGCCATATTTAACAAATAATGAGAACTTATATAAACGTCTGTGGACAGGCAATAGCAACACAAACATTTACTACGTAATGTCAGTGTACACAGGCAATAGAATACAAACATTTACTACATGAAAAATAAAACACGTCAAATACAATACTTTGACTTCATAATCCTAGATTAACACAAAATGGATGTTAAAGAACACAAATACAATGTTACGTTATTCAGTTGTACAGGGGTTGAAACATCCAAATGTATGTGTGCATAGACATTACGTTCGACGTACCTTCTTCATCATCAATGCCCAGAATCAGCTTTTCCTCTCCATCTCGTACGTCTTTCGTACAGGGCTCACCTTCATCTTGTGTCGCCGGACGTTCACAACCGGATTCATCTCCTTCAAAACCCATAAACTCACCCATGTCGTAACTGTGACATTATTTTGAATTAATCAATAATAATGTCTCATAAGTGTGGTGCAATGATGGCGGATATTTGTAACGGTTTCCGTTACAAGAGTCACCTTGATGGTAGGTGATTATATATATTGCTCCATGGTCCTCCCACTCCTTCTAAGGCATAAGGCTTAAAGCTCACATAAAATATATGCACCATCTAGATAGTGAGGAGTGAAGTGGGAGACGAAAAGGCTTTCTGGGGTTCTTCCACGTTCTTCGACCGTTCATCAACAATATGGCTGGAGGTTAGCGATACTATTATTTCCGCTGCGTTTATATGTTTTTAGGCTAACATTTGGTATCAAAGCATGTTTAATCTCTGCCTATTTGTTGTATGAACATCATGAATTTTATATGAACATTCGTTATATACATGTTCATATATGTGTTCATCACATCACACACATATATGTTTAGTTCATATATTATAAATATATGTGTGTATACGTTTAACATGATTTCCATGACATATGCATGAAAATTGAATCATACGTATGTTAAAATAACACATATACATTTCTATGTATGATGTAAATCATGATTACATGTTATATGGGCATACATGAATAATTTCAATATGTATGAAAGGTGTTGTATATATGTTCGTATGTGTGTTCATATGTAATATATATATTCGTATGTTTTTCATATGGAACATATTTATATTTGTGTGTGATATAACTATGTATATAATCGTGTGTTATATACATATATTGTCCGAAAATTATATAGATTAATTGTTCGGAATTATATATGTTTATATGAGTTTATGTATTGGAATTGTTATATGTGTATATATTTGATCATGAGAGATATATGCATATGATTTTCTTAAATTCATATGTAAACCTTTTAAATTCCTATCATTATGTTTGATGGAATGGCTATGGTTACATTTAGTTCTTGAATATATGTGTTCTAAATGAATTATATATGCATGTGTGTGAGCCGTGTGTATATATACATGTGCCTTGCAATTTTTTTTGTGATTCTTCTATCCGTTTATAATTTGGAGAATATTAAAACGGATGGCTAGTTAATAATTTTGATGCATTTTACATGCATACACATGGTATTTCTACATGTATATATGAAATTGAACATGTAGTATTTTGTATATCATGCATGTTTTGTATCTATGTTTGCTACATTTATATGTATGGTGGAGATGCTATCGGATATGGTGGCCGCCGGTTGATGTAGAATCATAGGGTGCTGCGGCGGTAGTGCCATGAGAAGTTTGTAATGGCATCATAAGGAATGTCGTCACTCCATTATGGTTTCCGAGTGTCTCAATGAAGTTATAGAATAAGTTTTGGACTTATTACTATATTTGGGATCGAAATTTCTAAATTAAATTATGCTATTTTAATTTGGATCGAAATTTTTGTGTGTTGTGGAATAGTTTAATTCTTTTTCCAGCACATTTATTCTAATTGTTACGTGATGCATTGATTTTAATCTTTATGCATTGCATTTAAATTGTGCATTGAAATCGTGCACTACATTGAGACGGCCTGTAATGCATAACGTTAGAAATTAATGTCTTTAATGCGTAATATTAATGTCTTTAACGCGTAACATATTATTAATGCTTTTAATGCGTAATATTAATGTCTTTAATACGTAACGTATTATTAATGCCTTGAATGCATAACATCGTGAATTAATGCTCATATTATTCCCATTAAAGTTGAACTTATGCATAATTATAATTGAGATGGTGCCTGCGATTTAAGCACATTAAGTAAATAAAATTCTCATTCCATTATCTTTAAAGTTTTTCCCATAAATAAAATATTTGTGGTAGTACCCAAACAACAATTAACGTGATAAATTTAAACCGGGAAAATTTTTTGGGAAGTAAAAACTAGTTATGCTTCAATTCTTTATACTTGTTTTTCCCCGAACTGTTAATTTATCTAAAGAATTACTCTTTAATAAATCCTAGCCCCGACCGACTATCCTGGGAGCATATTAGGGGATTGTCCATCATGATTGTTATTTTAAAACTTTAAAGGATTGCCTTTGTGATAATATAATTTTATTAATTTTGGAGTAGCCACAACATCCTTAATTAATTAAAATTGTATATTAAGAAGCCTTTGGTGGAAATCACATTAATGTTAGGCATAAAATTTGTAATTAATTATACGTGATATGACATAATTTATCCCACAGGAATTTTTGTTATATTTGTATGATTAATTAGGATAAAATATCGAACTATGGTCATAATTTATCCCATAGGAAATTATGATTCGGAATATAGTTTGATATGTTTATTGGTATGGGTACAAAAAAAAATTAAGACTCATGCATAAGAATTTAGCCCACATGCAATTTTTATGGCGGTTGAGTCATCATGGTGCATCATTTACATTGGTAATGCATGCAATTAAGTTATATATGTACCTCAAAACTAACACAAGTTATATATGAATCTTTTTTCCAGCTTCTCAACCCATTATTCATTCCGAAATTTCGTTAGGCCTTTAAATTCCCGAACTAACTGGTGACAACTATAAGGTTTGGAGAGAAAGAGTTCTCCTACACTTAGGTTGCGTGGACATTGATTGTGCTATTAGGAAGGATGAACCACCCGCCATTAATGCACAAAGTTCTCCGGCTGAAATTGCGTTATATGAGCGATGGGAGAGATCCCATCGGCTCAGCGTAATATTTATCAAAACTAAAATTTCAGCTGGAATTTGTGGCTCGGTTGATCAGCATAAGAATGTCAATGACTTGCTTAAGGCTATTGATGATCAATTTGTCATTTCAGAAAAGGCTTTAGCAAGTACCTTAATCGTGAAATTCTCCTCGCTCCGTCTCACAACCGTTAAGGATGTGCGAGAGCACATCATGAAGATGCGGGATATAGCGGCTCAATTGCAAAATTTGGAGGTAACTATGTCGGATGCGTTCTTGGTGCACTTCATTTTGATTACCCTTCCTCACCACTATGGACCATTTAAAATCTCTTATAACACACAAAGATAAGTGGTCAATTAATGAATTAATGACCATGTGTGTGCAAGAAGAAGAAAGGCTCATAATGGAGTTGGGTGAAAGTGCCATTCTAGCTACAACCTTAGCCAAGAACAAATTTGACAAGTCTCGTACAACCACCTCTAAAGCTAAGGGTAAAGGTAAAATACCACCCAAAGCTGACATTAAGAAGGTACATAAGTGTTATTTCTGTAAAAAGAAAGGACACATGAAGAAAGATTGTGCCAAGTTCAAGAATTGGTTGGAGAATAAAGGTAACTTATCTTCCTTTGTTTGTCTTGAATCCAATATGTGTGATGTTAACACTAATTCGTGGTGGATTGATTCTGGTTCTACAATCCACGTTGCAAGCTCTTTACAGGGTATGCAGAATCTAAGGAAGCCAGTGGGAAGTGAGCAAAGCATCTTATCTAGAAACAAGATGGGCTCACATGTGGAAGCCATTGGAACATGCACTTTAATTTTAAGTAGTGGCTTTGTTTTAACTTTGGAAAAGACTTTTTATGTACCAAGTTTCTCACGAAACTTGATTTCAATTTCAAGACTAGTACCATTCGGGTTTTCCTTCAATTTCAAGAATAAAGTTATTGAATTATTCAATAAATCTACTTTTGTTGGAAAAGGTACTTTGTCTGATGGTCTTTACCGTATTGATTTGCAAAATGATGCCACACTTAATTCATTTCATGTGCATACTGGCTCCAAAAGATCTAGTGTTGACGAGAACTCCTCTATGTTGTGGCACCGGAGATTAGGTCACATCTCCATTGAAAGAATTAAGCGATTAGTTAATGATGGGGTACTTAGTACTCTTGATTTTTCTGATTTTGAAACTTGTGTAGACTGCATTAAGGGTAAGCAGACAAACAAGTTTAAAAAGAGTGCCAATAGGAGTTCAAGTATATTGGAAATCATACATACTGACATATGTTGTCCAGAAATGGACTTGTCAGGTCAGAAATATTTTATCACCTTTATTGACGATTATTCTCGGTATACCTATGTGTATTTGCTTCAAAATAAGTATGAAGCATTGGATGCCTTCAAGTCTTTTAAGGCTGAAGTTGAGAACCAATGTGGGAAGCAAATACAAATAGTTAGATCCGATAGAGGTGGTGAATATTATGGCAGATACACTGAAAATGGACAAGCACCTAGTGCGTTTGCTAAGTTTCTTCAAGAACATGGGATTGTTGCCCAATACACTATGCCTGGGTCTCTGGACCAAAATGGTGTTGCAGAAAGGAGAAATCGAACGCTTATTGACATGGTGCGGAGTATGCTTAGCAACTCCAATCTTCCTAAGTTTTTGTGGGCTGAAGCACTAACGACGGCAACGTATATATTGAACTGAGCTCCAACCAAGGGTGTCCCTAAGACACCTTTTGAGTTATTCAAAGGTTGGAAACCGAGTTTAAAACATATGTGTATTTGGGGATGCCCGTCTGAACTGAGAATTTATAACCCACATGAGAAGAAATTGGACCCAAGGACTATTAGTGGTTTCTTTATTCGATATGCACAGTCCTCTAAGGGTTATAGGTTTTATTGTCCATCTCATACGACTAAGATTGTGGAATCAAGAAATGCAAAATTTCTTGAGAATGACGTAGTTAGTGGGAGAGATCGGTTCAGGGACTTGATTCATGTTCATGATCATACGGAATCTGAACCTTCCACGTCATCATAGAGGTTGATTATTATACACAACACCCCTCAAGGTCAAATTGGTACTCATCAACCTACTACAGAAATTCCACAATATGCTGGAAATATTCCAGTGGATCAACCTATTCAGGGAAATCAAATTCCTGATGAGGTAGTTGAACCTGAAGATCCTCAAAGAGATGATGGTTCAACATTAAGAAGGTCTACTCGAGTTAGAAGGTCACCAATTCCTAGTGATTATGAAGTGTATTTGTAAGAAACTGACATTGGAGCCGAAGATGATCCTGAAACGTTTTCACAAGCCATGAGTAGCCAGGAGTTTGATTTATGGCACAAAGCCATGAAGGAAGAAATGGACTCCATGAAGAGTAACAAAGTCTGGGATCTAGTAGAGTTGTCTAATGGGGCCAAGGTTGTTGGCTGCAAATGGGTCTATAAGACCAAAAGGGATTCATTAGGCAACATTGATTGATATAAAGCAAGACTTGTTGCTAAAGGTTTTACTCAAATCGAAGGAATTGACTATAAGGAGACATTCTCTCTTGTTTCTAAGAAAGATTCCCTTCGTGTGATTTTAGCCTTAGTTGCACATTTCAATCTTGAATTGCAACAAATGGATGTGAAAATGGTCTTTCTTAATGGTGATCTAGAAGAAGAGGTTTACATGAAACAACCTGAAGGTTTTTCTTCTAGTCATGGTGAGCGTTTGCAAGCTTAATAAATCCATTTAGGGTTTAAAACAAGCCCCTCGACAATGGCATCTCAAGTTCGATGGGATAATTTCTTCCTTTGGTTTTGTTGAAAGTCCCATGGATCATTGTATATATCAGAAGGTTAGTGGGAGTAAAATTTGTTTTCTTGTTTTATATGTAGATGATATTTTGCTCGCAACAAATGATAAGGGGATGGTACATGAAGTGAAACAATTTCTCTTTAAAAACTTTGATATGAAGGATATGGGTGAGGCATCTTTGTCATTGGCATAAAGATCCATAGGGATATATCTCTTGGTATTCTGGGTATATCACAAGAAACCTATATCAACAGAGTTTTAGAGAGGTTTCGGATGAAGGATTGTTCACCGAGTGTTGCTCCCATAGTGAGAGGAGATAAATTCAGTTTGGACCAATGTCCAAAGAATGATTTTGAATGAAAATCCATGCATAATATTCCATATGCATCAGCAGTTGGTTGCTTGGGATATATCCAGGTTTGCACCAGGTCGGATATTTCCTTTGCTGTCGGGATGTTGGGCCACTACCAGAGTAATCCGGGTTTGGACCACTGAAGAGGTGCTAAGAAGGTCATGAGGTATCTTAAGGGAACAATGGATTACAAGCTTGTGTATAGAAGAACTGACAACTTAGAAGTTGTGGGTTATTCTGACTCGGACTACGCCGGTTGTGTTGATTCAAGAAAATAAACTTCGGGATATATTTTTATCATGGCCGGTGGAGCTGTTTCATGGAAGAGCGTCAAACAAACTTCGGTCGCTACTTCTACTATGGAGGCCGAGCTCATTTCTTGTTTTGAGGCTACATCGCAAGGTGTATGGCTTAAGAATTTCATTTCTGGGCTTAGAGTTATGGACACAATATCTAGGCCATTAAAGGTATATTGTGACGACTCCGCTGCGGTCTTCCTATCAAAGAATGACAAAAGTGAGAGTCGAATTAAGCATATCGACACCAAATATTTGTCTATAAGGGAGCGCGTCAAAAATAAAATAATGGTCATATGGTCATTGAGCATATTAGCACAGAGTTGATGAATGATGATCCTTTGACTAAAGGCATGCCACCATTGAAATTCAAGGATCATGTGCTGACTGCCGAATATGGGACTTTGTTCCAATTTGTATTGATACATTCAGTTATTTACGAAATTCTTATGCATTAAGACATTTTTCTCATTAAGATGCGCAAATTTCATTATGTTGAGAAAATGTACTTTTTATTTTTGGACCAGTAATAAACATAAGGTTTATTCATTGAGTTTTATTGCCATAACTTAAGGGGCAAGATGCATTGTGATCATTAGTGGTACTACTCGAGCTAAGAGGACGTAGCACTGTGGTTCATGTCTTTTGTTTCTTAAGGTTCGCCATTGCACCAAGTGGGAGAATGTAACATTATTTTGAATTAATCAATAATAATGTCTCATAAGTGTGGTGCAATGATGGTGGATATTTGTAACGGTTTCCGTTACAAGAGTCACCTTGATGGTAGGTGATTATATATATTGCTCCATGGTCCTCCCACTCCTTCTAGGGCATAAGGCTCAAAGCTCACATAAAATATATGCACTATCTAGATTGTGAGGAGTGAAATGGGAGACGAAAAGGCTTTCCGGGGTTCTTCCACGTTCTTCGACCGTTCATCAACAATATGGCTGGAGGTTAGCGATACTATTATTTCCGCTGCGTTTATGTGTTTTTAGGCTAACAGTAACTACTGATGAAGGTCATCTGCTCAGGACTGTAATCCATTCCTCAAGACTCTGGTTACTCTGTCCGCGTTTTTCGTCGAGCTATGAAGAGAATAAGAGGAAGAAGAGCTTCAGTGAACAGTGATCCTTTCTACTGGTTCTTTGAGTGCGAAGATACGTAACGGGAAGGGGGAGTGCGAAGGAAACAAAGGGAGGAAAGAAGTTAGGGATAAATGGAATGGTAATTTTTTGAGATTTTATATGATGTACAATTTGTGTACATCTCGTGTACCCTAAGACAAATTGACATTTAGAGGGAATGGCTTTAAATAGATCCATTACACTCCATGCCTTCCCATCATTCCATAGTCCATTTATAACAATATTGTAGCTTATTAAATTGGGGATAGGAGTCATAGGACTCCCAACTTCCATCATCCTCAGTAAAGAGTGATTATTGTAGAACACGATGATTCTTACATAATCCATCTAGAAGAATATTGTAGGTGAAGAGATCTGGATGTTCTCCAAATTTGATTGTATATTTGGTATTACTAGGCTTTAAACATGTCATTTTTTCTCCAAATTTGACAGAATTACTCATGGAATAAAAACATGATAGTTCTATTTTGAAATTTCAAAACATTTTAGTCCTATTTTGGGCAATTTCTGTTAACTTTTAGAGATTGAAAAGATCTTAAAAACAAAAGGTGATAGTTGTTTGATGAAAAATTGACTTTTGATTTAGTTTTTCTTGTTATACAAGCTGGTAGGACAAATTAATGCTAAAAACTAAAAAACTTTTTCCAAATGCTAGTCCATGTCAAACATACAATAAAAAAAAAACTTTTTAAATAGTACAAAAATTAGAAAGTAAAGACTTAACTTATGCCTATCAAAGATGCACGTAAAATATGTACTTTTTCATAAAATTGAAAATACTCCTCGCAAATAAACTTTCCCTTTTGAATTATCCCAATAGTATGAACATTTTTCAAATTGAGTTTCACCAACATTCTATTTTCTCATATTATCCTTTTATATGTCATTTCATCATTTAACGTCCCTAACCCCTTTCTCTCCAATTCCCGCACCGTCGCTGCCCCCACACTCCCAGGCCAAACGTCACCGCACATCTACACGATGAGGCTAAAGAAATAGATGAAGGTGAAAAAAACTACAGGGGATGACAGAAGTGCCAGCGACATTGTCGATCACGAAAGCGCCAACAACGCCAAAGATTGCAGAAGCAAGAGCGATTCCAGCAATTGCAAGAGCGCGAGAGACGCCAACAACGTCAAAATCGTGATCGATCGTAAGCGCGAGCATGGCCTGAGGTGCCAAACACCGCGGATTGGTCCACCACAAAATGCCACCAGACCGCCGCCACCGATTGATGACATTGATCCACCACCGGACGCCACTAGACCATCTCCGTTGATCGTCGAAAAATTTTCCGACTCTCACCTTCGACCTGCTATCACACCGCCACCAAAATGATAGTTAGGGACTAGGGAGTGTTTGCAATTGCTTCTGCTTAAAAAAAGCACTTTTGGAAGTGATTTTGGAAAAAAAGATTAGTAGTAAAAGTTGGTTGTGAGAACAAAGTGATTTTGAAAAGTAAAAGTTGGTAGTGTTTGGTAAAATAAGGGCTTTTTGTGTAATAGAAAAAGTAAAAAGCACTTTTCACACAAAAGCCGAAAACGTTTTTTTAAGTAATAGTTGTCACTTGAAAGCACTAATTTTAACTTTTTGTAAGCCAAAAGCCAAGGAGAGCTTTTTTAAGCTATTGCAAACACTCCCTTAGAGCAATTTGCTTTTTTTGAATGGAAATAGTCTATATTAAAATCAATAAACCAAACCATATTACACTAGGCTCAATATCATACCAACCCTAGACATAAGCCGAATGATCAGACTTTGGCTCTGCTACCCAGCAGAGTAAGTCTTCATGTTTCTATAGTGATTTAAAACATTTACAACTCTATTAAAAACAAATTGAAAAAATAAAAAGTAATGCAAAGTACTGAAATAGGCGAAACTACAAACTACTCATAGTCTTGTTCCATTGTACCTACAGACCGATCACGACTTTCTGAAAGCAAGTGACATTTATTTCAGCCTTGTACTAAATATATATGTTGATATAAAATCTTGTACTACCTTCTGTGGCGGTGGTTCTGGAGGAGGGCGGATAACGGTGTCGTCATAGATGATTTGAGAAGCATAATACCAATGGTATTTGAGAAAAACAAATCTAAAACTCGATAAATGTCATCAATGTCAATTGAACAATAACATAACACTTTGTAGGTACTAGCATAAAAATTTGAGAAGAAACCACTCATAACACCAATGTCAAAATTGACACAAGGACTCTAGAAATCCTAGGGATGAGAACACCACTCATATGAGTAATGAGTGTATATATCATTTTTTCAATATGCGTTGAAGGTTGGGCAGACATGAGTCTACGTCGTCGTTCACCTAATGAGTTGCTAACCCCTATAGGGTTTCCCATATGCGGCATTCATGCAAGATAGTAGATGGTAGAGCAATTTTCTCTTACAAAATGATGCTACGTATTTCCTTACATACCAAAGTAATTATTTGCTTCAAGAGTTCAAGGGATGTTCAGAAGTCAAAATGAATCAACAACCAAATCCAAAAAAAATCAAAAACTTGGGAATAAAAAATTGAAAACAGTTTTTGTTTTCTAAAAAGCAATAACAGAAAACTCAAACTAAGTTTTAAATAATGGTTGAATATAGCCAGTGAACTTGGGAATAATAATGCACCGCGGATACAGAAAATGCTGGTAGCAATAATAGTGGCATGAAAGTGTCGATGTTCTCATGTTCCCATAGGACTTGGGAGCTAGCCAAAAAGCTCCCTAGTAGAGACTTATGCACCCACTTTTTTCCACCCTGATCAACCTGACTCTCATCACACCCAAAATTCCAGAAAATTACTCTTCCATCCAATTACTGGTTGTTCACTTACCAGACTCACCACAAATCCCTCTGCACTAGCTACCACATATAGACAAAAGAATCTAGACAGCTCTAGAGATCAGTTACATGAATTACAAAATAAATTAGAATATTTGTATTAAATGTTTCAGTTACAAATCTTTGTATTTAATATTATAATTAATAGCCTAGCTCTAAAATGTTGTATAAATAGGATATCATTTCATGGAATGAATCAAGCTTTTCAGTCTCAATTCCTCCTTATTCTAAACTTTGTCATGGTATCAGAGCCTCTAGAGGCCTAAACGGCCTATTCCCTTCACTGAACCTTCCCCCCGCATCACCTTTCTCTGCCCATGGCTCATGAAAATAATAGAGACAAAAGTCCAGAAGATGTGAATAATCCCCTAACCCCGGATGGCCTTGTTATGCTCAGCCCTAACCAATTCCCAGAAAAACTAGATGGATCAAATTACCTTGTATGGAGAGACCAAGTAATGGACCTTCTGTTCGGGTCTCATCTAGATCAGTATATTGATGAAAAAATCAGTCCTCCTCCAGAAACTGAAGCTGCCAACTTTCTGCGATGGAAGAGACAGGACCGTCTGGTGCGGCACGCTCTTGTATCTTCACTCAGTTCCGCCTGCAAACCGCTGGTTGGGTCTGCAAAGACCTCCGCCTCCGTCTGGAAAACACTGGAACGCCTATATGGGACCCGGTCAGCTTCCAAAATCCGAAGTCTTAAAGACCAGTTCCGCCATGCTAAACAGGGGTCGCAACCTGTAGCAGAATATCTTCACCACCTTCGCACCCTCGCGGATGAACTAGCCATGGCCGACCGACCTGTTGACGATGAAGACTTTGCCATTCAAGCCCTGGAGGGTCTTCGTCCCGAGTTTGAATCCGTGGAGAACTCCATCCGCCCAGATGAAACTAACTTTGAAGAACTCCACTCCTTACTGGTCAGATTCAAAGACAAGTTGCGAAGGAAGGAGCTCTTGAATTATGCGGCTGTTGTTACTGCGAACGCAGCTACGGTAGAAAGAAAAGAGGAAGAAGACAGTTCGGTCGCAATGACCGTTCGCAGAAGTCTAGACCAGAATGCGTCTATATTAGGCCCAGGTCCATCAGACAGTTTCAGACTCTACCCAATAGGCCCAATACTCAGAATAAATTTTTCAAAAATCAAAATCGAGGCCCACGTCCCAGCAACTTCTACAATTCAAATAGACGTGGAAATAATAATCCCGGGGGGCAGGCGTACTAATTTTGGGGGAAATACCAGTCCGGGTGCCGTTATATGTCAAATTTGTAGCAAACCGAACCATCTCGCTATAAACTGTTGGCACAGGTTTGAACAACAAAATTATCCCCCCAGGCCAATACTGCCACGACCAGGAGAACCGGATGGTTGCTGGACTCGGCAGCAACTAATCATGTCACCAATAATTTAAACAATCTTACCCTGGCGTCCGATTACACCGGCACAGACTCCCTCATTATTGGTAACGCTAAAAGTCTTGAAATTGCACAAGTTGGGAATATGACCCTTCATTCTCTCTCCTTACCTAATACTCTTTTTGTTCCTTCTATTCATACTAATTTAATTTCAGCTGCCAAATTATGTCGTGACAATGATGTACTAATCGAGTTTCACCGTTCTTTTTGTCTTGTCAAGGACCGGAAAACGGAAGCAATTTTGTTACGGGGTATGAATAAAGGTGACGTCTACAGCTTGCCTGATGTTCCTGTTCCTTCATCACCATGTGTCAATGTTACTACAGAATTTTCTCTGAATAAATGGCATTGTCGTTTAGGACATCCTGTCCTTCCCATCACTCAAAAAGTTATTTCCTCATTAGGTATTTCCTTTAAAGATGTTAATAAGGATTTGTCCTTATGCACTTCATGCGCAAGTAATAAAAGTCACAAGTTACCTTTTGCTAAATCTTCCCTTTCAAGTTCAGGTCCACTTGATTTAAATTATACAGATGTTTGGGGTCCCTCACACATTAATTCTGTGGATGGTTTTCGTTATTATGTTATTTTTGTTGATCACTACACAAAATAGATTTGGTTTTACACTATCACTCACAAGTCTGAGGTAACTTCAATTTTTCAACAATTTAAGAAGATCGTAGAAAACTTTTTTCAAAAATCTATTAAAATGGTTTATTCAGATGGAGGGGGTGAATACATATCCCTAGGGAAATTTCTGGCCTCTTGTGGTATTACTCACTTACTGACCCCTCCATATACCCCTGAGCATAACGGCTTCGCTGAACGCCGACATCGTCATATTGTAGAAACAGGGATCACTTTACTTCACCACTCTTCAATGCCGTTAAAATATTGGTCATACGCCTTTTTAACTGCTGTATATCTAATTAATAGGCAACCAACAGCATCTCTAGGTTTTTGTACTCCCTATGAAAAACTTTTTCAAAAACCTCCCAATTACACAAAACTTGTTATTTTCGGATGTCAATGTTTTCCATGGCTCCGTCCTTATGCAGCTCATAAGTTAGAACCACGGTCCAGACCTTGTATTTTCATTGGGTATTGCGATCAACAAAGCGCTTATCGCTGTCTTGATCCTGCTACCAATCGCATCTTTTTTAGTCGGCATGTGGTGTTCAATGAGTCTGTCTTCCCTTTCTCTAATAATACAACACATGTTACAGATCTGTCCTCTGAAATTGACAGTTGGCTTCAACCTCCTATCTCTTATCTTCCTATCTCAGGTACATCACTAGCAAAGGCGTCTCCTACTACTCGTACCCCAATAACACAAGACTCCCCTAACCCTGCTCCTCATAACACTCCACCAGCTTCTAACCCACCGGTCCTCATCACTTATCACCGCCGGCCCAACCAACACCAACCCCTCAACCATTACTCCCACTACAAATAATCCCATATCTACCTTGGGTCATCATCATGATCCAAAAGCCTCTCCACCCAAACGTACCCACCCAATGACCCTGCGTTCTCGTAAACAAGCTAATGTTGTCACACACTCACCATTACCTCACCATATTATTCCTACTTGTGCTTCTCAAGCTTTACAGGTACCTGAATGGAGTAAGGCTATGTCTGTGGAATTTGATGCTTTGGTTCAACAAGGGACATGGGAACTTGTACCCGCTCATCCTGGTCAGAACATTGTTGGCTGCAAATGGGTTTATACTGTGAAATATAAGCCCGATGGTTCCTTGGATCGTTTCAAAGCTCGATTGGTGGCTAAAGGCTTTCATCAGCGCCCGGGGATTGATTACTCTGAGACCTTTAGCCCAGTCATCAAACCAGTTACTATTCGGGTTGTTCTGACCATTGCACTTTCTCATGGCTGGCACATAAACCAACTAGATGTCAACAATGCTTTTCTACATGGTGCTCTTCAAGAGGAGGTTTACATGAAACAACCCCCTTGTTTCAATGATGGCTCTGGAAGAGTGTGTCGTCTTAGGAAATCCATCTATGGTCTCAAACAAGCACCTCGAGTATGGTACCAATCTCTTAGTGGATTTCTATTATCCCTTGGTTTTCATCAATCAGTCTCTGATGCCAGCCTCTTCATCTTTTCTTCTCATCCCTCTTATATCTATGTGTTGGTATATGTGGATGATATTATTGTTACGGGCTCTACACCAGACTTGATTCATCGGACTATTAACTTGTTAGCACAAAAATTCTCCATTAAGGATTTGGGGTCATTACATTACTTTTTGGGCATACAGGTTACCCCTACATCAGATGGACTCTTTCTTGATCAACACAAGTACATTACAGATTTATTACAGGTGTTGAACATGCACGAGGCGAATCCAGTATCCACGCCTTTAGCTTCCTCAGCTTCCTTGACTCTGTTACTTGATGCCACACTCTATCGTCAAGTTATTGGATCACTTCAGTATTTAAACCTCACCCGACCTGATACGGCCTTTGCCATCAACAAGCTAGCCCAGTTTATGCACAAACCCACGGTGAACCATTGGCAACTCATGAAACGTCTCTTGCGGTATCTTCACGGAACAGCCTCTCATGGTTTATATCTCCGTCGGAGTTCTCACCTTTCATTTTGTGCTTATGCTGATGCAGACTGGGCGGGAAATCCAGATGACCGATCCTCTACCAGTGCTTATGCCATTTTTCTCGGAGAATCGCTTATTTCATGGAAGTCCTCCAAGCAACGCACAATTGCCAAATCCTCAACCGAAGCAGAGTATCGGGCCCTATCCACTGCTGCATCTGAAACTCTTTGGATGGAGTCACTTCTTCATGAGCTTCGACATTCCCCTTCTTCTCCTCCAGTTCTTCTATGTGATAATAAAGGCGCTACCACCTCTTCTGCCAATCCGGTATTCCATTCCCGAATGAAACATGTTGCCATTGATTTCCATATTGTTCGTCAACGTGTGCAACGTGGCCTTCTTCGGGTTCTTCATATCCCCTCGCATGATCAACTAGCTGACATTCTCACCAAACCCCTTTCACGACAACGGTTTGTTTTTCTACGTGACAAGCTCAGGATTCTCAGCACTGATAGAATACCTGGCTTGCGGGGGCATATAGACAGAAGAATCTAGACAGCTCTAGAGATCAGTTACATGAGTTACAAAATAAATTAGAATATTTGTATTAAATGTTTCAGTTACAAATCTTTGTATTTAATATTATAATTAGTAGCCTAGCTCTAAAATGTTGTATAAATAGGATATCATTTCATGGAATGAATCAAGCTTTTCAGTCTCAATTCCTCCTTATTCTAAACTTTGTCACCACATACACCACCACTGTTCTCTCTCCATCTCAACTTCACCCTCCAAAAAAGTACTTTAGAAACTGTAGTAAGTTTTAAAAAATGCAGTTCACAACCACAATAATGTGTTCTGTACATACAAATAATGGATTTAGCCTTTCAATTCCGGCCAACCCCAAATAGAAAGATAGGGAGACAAACTGATAAAGAAACTGTAAAGCTTATCTGCTGTACTAGTCCTTTATTGATTGATGTCAACTTTATATAATTTATTCAATATACATCCAACTGATCGAGGTGTGAGTCGTGTGACTGTGTGAAGATATTTAAGATTTTATATTGCACAAACATTAAGTATGAAAACAGCTAAAGATTATTAGAGGCATATTCATACCACTTAGCAATATGAAAACAAATGCACAAAACTTGTTAACTAGTCATTGGCATATGGCAATCATTTACGGTGATAAGTCAGAAAATTGTCCAATACAGTAAATAACTATATTTACATATACAAATACCACCACAATACCATAGTAAAAGACATCAAATGCATGACACAACCAGCAGAAGCTCACAAGTAACTAATTTTGTTCTCTGGAATGCAGATAAAAATTTGTCATCATCATTACCCCAGTGCCGCAAAGGCTCCCAGCTACGGTGGGGTAAGCGGGGGTCGGATGTACGCGGTCTTACCCCTGTACTAAAGCACAGAGAGACTGTTTCCGAATGACCGATAGTGAAAATCGCGTCTAAAATTGCATAGACTGACTGTTACTTCATAACAAAGAAGCGCAGACAATTTAGTGAGTCATTTTGCTTTATTTCATCATATTCTCAAGCCAAAAATAGTGAGTCTGGCTCCAGATAAAAATTTGTCCTATGACTAAAATTCTAGTGAATGAGAAATCTAATTAGACCAATCAAAAATCTGAGTAAAAGATATAACTCAATTTGTGTAATTTAGAATGTATAACCACTTAAAAAGCTACAAAGAGTCATCTCTCTCAGTTCTTATGAAAACTAAAAAATAAGTCAATACAAACTTATTTATAGACTCCTAAATATTAACTCATAATTTTGGCAACTATAAAACTTAGCAGCATGAGCACACCGAACAATTAAATATAAACCGAGTAAATTGACAGAAGACAATCACGAACACAACTAGGGCAACATAAATATGATTCAACTAAGTTCAGGGTCCGATTTTAATAAATTGATAATAGATCAAAAGATAAGGGTTGTTGAATCTGTAAAGGGTGGTTGTTGATCGTCAATATATATCTAGCGCTTAGTACAACTTTTTCATACGAAATTGACTTAAGTGAGAAGAACAAAACCTCTATTAGATAAATTAGCTTATCGTGATTAATTTGTTAAACATAAGTAAAACATTTTAAATTACTGAGATAAACTTTGTTTCTAAATATAGAATTGTGAAAGAGAAATCTCACTATATGAAAGAAAAGCTAATCCAGTTTTAACATTAGAGGAGACTAGGGGAGACGAGAAGCATACTGGTGATGAGGAGTAGCCTAAGTAAGGAGTTTAGAAAAAGCAGGCACCGTGGGTGAGGAGGGTACCGATGCAGAGGAAATAGGGTACGGAGGGAATAAAAGTTGTAAGCTGATTTTAAATAAAAAGGTTACCATAGTAGTTTGTAGGAGTTTTCTTGCCAATGGCGCCCTGCATTTTGTAGGGCATTAGTGCAGTATTTTAGTGGCCGATTTGAACTTGAGAGCCATGAAAATTAACTTAATACCCAAAAATTTATTTTGTTCAAACTGCTATATGTACTCATTGCCTTAAGCTAACACAGAGGTGAGAGATAGATGTTTCGTGAATGAAACACTAATTATGTGCAAGACTAAATGTTTCTTTTAGTGAATGGGTTGAGTGCACATGAATTCGCATATCAATGCATTTATTTGTGTAGATGCAATGAAGGAGACGAGTTGCATTTTTCTTGTTTGACCTCAACTGGAAAAGACTTTGCTTTCTTTATTCAAATAATACGAGAACAAGTAGCAATGAGATACTCGGAGAGTGGTGGGATTCAAAGATGTTATAATTCCTATATTCTTCAAAGTAGGCAGAAGCCCTTGAAGAGAAGAAAGCTATGCTTATTGACATTAAATTGGATGTGTATGCCAACGAAAATGATAAGGAACAACAACAAAAAGAACTAACAATAAAACTCAAAAAAGACAACTGACAATTGTGACCTTGTTGGATATTGTATCCAAGACCTCTAGAAGGAACTCAATGAGGAAGACAGATTGATAGGAATGCAAGACCCCTCTCGATCTCAGGAAACTACAACAATTTAGAAACAAGGTCGCATAAAAAATTACTAGGACTCACACTAGGAAAACAATCTCTCATCACTGCTGTGAACCATCTCCTTCAAAGTACACAACACAAGGAAAACAATCCCTCATCTCGAATTGTTGAGGGATTGTTTTCCTAGTGTGAGTCCTAGTAATTTTTTATGCGACCTTGTCTCTAAATTGTTGTAGTTTCCTGAGAACGAGAGGGGTCTTGCATTCCCTATCAATATGTCTTCATCATTAAGTTCCTTCCAGAGGCCTTGGCTACAATATCCAACAAGGTAAGAGTTGTCTTTTCTGAATTTTATTGTTAGTTATTTTTGTTATTGATCCTTATCATTTTCGTTTGAATACACATCCAGCTTAATGTCAATAAGCATAGCTTTTTTCTCTTCAAGTGCTTCTGCCTGCTTTGGAAAAATATAGGTATTATAACATCTTTGAATCCCACCACTCTCCGAGTATCTCATTGCTACTTGTTGTCAAATTATTTGAATAAAGAAAGCAAGGTCTTTTCCCGTTGAGGTCAAACAAGAAAATTGCAACCCGTCTTCCTCACTGCATCTACACAAATATATGCATTGATATGCGAATTCATGTGCACTCAACCCATTCACTAAAAGAAACATTTAATCTTGCACATAATTAGTGTTTCATTCAAGAAACGTCTATCTCTCACCTCTGTGTTAGCTTAAGGCAATGAGTGCATATAGTAGTTTGAACAAAATAAATTTTTGGGTATTAAGTTAATTTTCATGGCTCTCAAGTTCAAATCGGCCGCTAAAATACTGCACTAATGCCCTACAAAATGCAGGGCGCCATTGAAAAGAAAACTCCTACAAACTACTATGGTAACCTTGTTTACATAACATCAGCTTACAACTTTTATTCCCTCCTACCCTATTTCCTCAGCATCAATACCCTCCTCACCCACGGTGGTGCCTGCTTTTTCTAAACTCCTTATTTAGGCTAATGGCTACTCCCCATTAGACTTGGACAAAACCGGGTCAGCCCGCCAAGCCCGCACAAATGGGCGGGCTTGGGCATATATATTTACCCACCGGACCGAGCTGACCCCGGCCCGCAATAAGATAAGGGCGGCTTGGGTTAGGGTGTAGGCCCGTTTGGTCCGCTAAGCCCGGCCTGCTACATTTATTAAATTGTTAGAGTATTTATCCAACACTGGAAAGTTATAAAACAATAAACCACTATATAAGGCTTTGGGTTACTCTTATCAGGTTGACCTTTTAGGATGGAACCCCAAATTTTAACTTGATATCAGAGCCAATTCCGATTGTGGTTTGACAGCTTGTTTAGCACCCATGATTACAGGTAGCTTGTTAAGGATCTGTTTGGCCCAATTATACACCTGATATCCAGCCCGGTTCAGGCTGAGGGGGCGTGTTAGAGTATTTGTCCCACACCAGAAAGCTATAAAACAATAAACCACTATATAATGCTTTGGGCTACTCCTCCTATCAGGTTGACTTTTTAGGATGGAACTCCAAATCTTAACATAAATATAAATAAATATATATTTATTTATATATATACTAATTTATTTATTTATTTAGATATACACATGTATATTTATATTTACTAAGTTTTCTTTGTACATATTTAAAGTTTATTATGTTTAAATTTAAATTTTTAGTTCTTAACAACTAGCCCAACCAATATGATATCTATTATTGTGCTTAAAGATAATACTTTGTGCTTAAATTTTAAATTTTAGATATAGTTTCTTATTATTATTTTTGTGTAGGTATTTTTCTTAATGTGGTGAAAGGCCTATCATTATCAGCGTATTAACAATTTTTTAAATGTTGTAATATTAATTTTAAAGTATTTAAAAAATCATATAATTTTGAAAAATTTAAAGTTTTCCCGGGCCGGGCGGCCCGGTGGATTAATCGGCCCACTCTTATGGGCGGGTATGGACATAGGGTTAGGCCCATTTTTGCGGGCCGGGCCGGGCCCGTCCATACATGATGGGCGGAAAATTTATAAAAAGCCCGGCCTGAGCCCGACCTGAACCCGTTTTGTACAGGTCTACTCCCCATCACCAGTATGTTTCTCGTCTCCCCTAGTCTCCTCTAATGTTAAAACTGAATTAGCTTTTCTTTCATTTAGTGAGATTTCTCCTTCACAATTCTATATTTAGAAGCAAAGTTTATCCCAGTAATTTAGAATATTTTACTCATGTTTAACAAATTAATCACGATAAGCTAATTTATCTAATAGAGGTCTTGTTCTTCTCACTTAAGTCAATTTTGTATGAAAGAGTTGGACTAAGCATTAGATATATTATCAGCAGCCACCGTTTACAGTTTCAACAACCCTTCTCTTTTGATCTATTATCAATTTATTAAAATCAGACCCTGAACTTAGTTGAATCATATTCATGTTGTCCTCCTAGTTGTGTTCATGATTTTCTTATGTCAATTTACTCGGTTTATATTTAATTGTTCGGTGTACTCATGCTGCTAAGTTTTATAGTTGCCAAAATTATGAGTTAATTTTTAGGAGTCTACACATAAGTCTGTATTGACTTATTTTTTAGTTTTCCTAAGAACTGAGAGAGATGATTGTGTGTAGCTTTTTAAGTGGTTATACATTCTAAATTACACAAATTGAGTTATATCTTTTACTCAGAATTTTGATTGGTCTAGTTAGATTTCTCATTCACTAGAACTTTAGTCCCAGGCTTGAACCCACCTTCGTGGGTTGGTTGCAGGCTGTTTAATTAATATTTATTCTTTTTAATTTTCCTGATTTGTTTCTTATTTTTTAGAGTTATTTAGGATTTCTAATATTTGTTTCCTATTAGGGGTTAATTAGGATTCCTATTATTTGTTTCCTATTTGAAGTTGATAAGGATCTTTATTATTCTGTTTCCTAGTTGGAATTGATTAGGATTTCCAGGATTTAGTTCCTAGTTTGAGAATTAGTAGATGAATATTTAAACCCCTTGTTAGGATTCATTTTGGCATGATCTTGGAATAAAATTAGAGTTTAGCCTTTTGGCTCTGGGCAACGGTATTTTTATCATTGATTATCTAAGCAACGGTTTACCCCGTTCATTTTTATTTTTCTGCTCTCATCATATGTACATCACTAGGCAGGAATATGAAAAAGGAAAATGTATTGTTTTTATGTGTACAACTGTACATATATTAAAATTTTGTTCACAACGATCTATTAAATTTAGCTCATTGGTTAATCTTGAAGATAGTGTATACCGTCAAAGTGAGTAAAAAAAGTTAAAATACGTCTTCTATTTCGAATTTTGATAAAATATCAACTTTATTTATGTCATTTAAATTATATTACGTATGTAATATGTGTGAAGTAGAATTTTTAGGGTTTTATATCTCTCAGAATTAGAATGTTTAAATGCTTGAGTATAGAATCAAAGGCTGGTTGATTGGGTGTCCATTTACCTCTACATAAAGATATTATAATCTCCTTGTCCTTTTGATATAAGCCCATCAATCTTGAAAAGGTGAGAAAAAACCGATAAATAGTAAGTGTTGAGTCATGAGAGTGAAGATATAGCAGTTACTGTGAATAAGTTAAGAGATGAAATCTCTAAGAAGTGTCAGGGTAATAAGTATATATTGAATAGTTTTGTGTCATAATTGAAAGATTAACATTACCAAACAGCTACGTGGACTCCAAAAGCATAGCATGTTAGTACTCAATCAGTGTAAAAGGTAGCAAGTAAACATAAGGTTCATAAGCTGCACTTCTGCTTGCAGTCATAGTAATGGCATGAGTGTTTAGTGTTTTATATACTAGTATTCCACCCTTGCGTTGCACGGGATGTAATATGCAGCTATTTTTAATGTTAATATATAAGTACAGTTATAGATTATAATATTACTTGTCAATTATCACACGAATGACACAAATCGTAAATTAATAACGACAAATACATAGTAAAAGATATTAGAAGTAGGGATGACAATTGTGACTGATGTGATGGATACTTGCACCAAATCGTTCCAGTCAAAACAGGCAAAACCGCATTGACTGGGTAACGTGTACGAGTCGGGGAATAACCGTTTTATTTCTAAGGGTAAATTTTATATGCCTGCCCCATTATCCACCCCGTACCCTGCCTGTTTATGTGTAGTTATATTTGATTACATTTTTTCCATTATTTGTCTCACAACTAATACAAGATGAGATTTTTCTCTTTAATTTTCATTGTGTATATATGGATATACTAACTGTAGTGTATGTATGAAATTTTATAATAGATTTTAATAGTCTTGTTTGGTTATTATCAAATCTTTCTTAATTTAATTATTTTTCGTTGAAGTATTTTTATGTTCAAATTAATTTAGATTGTCATTTCTCGCATTGTAGAGCACGAAACTTTTAAGTGGCATCTCACGTCTAGAACCATCTAGGCAATGCCATTTTTCACCCTTTAAAGTATTAATTTTTATATTAAAATATCAATGAATCATTTAATATAGCGATTACCCACAGTTATACCCGTTACACGTTGGGACAGTTATAGTTTGGATAAAAATTACACATTGGGTAATGGGACAATTACAGAGCGGGGAAATGACCCAAAGAGGCGAGTACGGGTGTATGCACAACTGTCTCCGATGCGTCTCAATACCATCTCTAATTAGAATGATCTAATACCTCATTGTAGACAAATTACAATATGCATCCCCAAAATCATAACACAAAAATGCCACCAAGAAAAATGTTAGGGATAAATTACTTAAATGAAATTATCTTAGAATCACAAAATTATCCATAACTTATCGAGCTTATCACTAAAATTGCTGAAAATACCCTTCAATTCTTTTTCTAGCACCAAAAAATGCAAACAAATGTTTGCAACTTAGCATTTCCCCAAGAACTTCAATGAAAATATGCAAACACTTCACATCGAGAATGATATACACTCAACTTTATTTTCATTGAATTTTCTTTTATTAGTCCCTGCTTTCGATTGATCAAATTCCTCCTCAAAGAGTCTTGCTTTGCTGTAATTTCAGCCAAGATGTCTTTGTACGTCAATGGAGTCCAATATTGGTGTCTCTTCAAAATTAGTTTTCCTTTTACTCTGGATATGCCACTACTTTCCCCTCTTGGTCAACCCTCTCTTTATTAGCCCCTCCCCTAAGGTGACTTTCATCCCTAACATTTCTTATGGAAGTATATCGATCATCATCATCATTACCCCCAGTGCCGCAAAGGCTCCCAACTACAGTGGGGTAAGGGGGGTCGGATGTACACAGTCTTACCCATGTACTAAAGCACAGAGAGACTGTTTCTGGATGACCCATAGTGAAAATCGCGTCAAAAATTGCATGAACTGACTGTTGCTTCATAACAAAGAAGCGCAGACAGTTTAGTGAGCCCATTTGCTTTATTACATCATATTCCCGGGCCAAAAAATAGTGAGTCTTTGGCTCCATTGCAAATGATGGAATATTATGGAAGTATATAGATATAGTTAGAAAATGCCACAGTGTTTGTTTTTTGTACAACAAAAGGGAAGAAATGGTAATATGAGTTAATATTACATGCAAAGTCTGCAACAGTTTCTACTGGAATTGGACTCTACTTACTCCCTAAGACATTTATTAAATAATGTGGCCTCAAAATTAGGGGTGAGATTTTGGAACTTGGAACCATAGAATCGGTTGGAACCGAACCGTTGTAGCCCGGTTCGGTTCGGTTCACACCTAAAAAAGAAAGGCCCTAGAAAGGCCGTGCCTATATGACCTCCCTGTGTTTAGAAGTTACTCAATTTTTTGTAATTAACCCGGTTCGGTGTGGTTCACCCATGTGCAAATATTAAACTCTTTGTCATTATAGTGAACAAAGTATGAGGGTAAATATTATGGAGGTAATTGTTATCTTAAATCTGTGATGTAGCAGAATGGTCCTTCAACACCCCCTCCCCAAACCATAGAGTCGGATTGCAAAGTAAGCTATTACAAAAGGCTGTTATTTCTTTCTTAAAATATACAGAGTACTACGTAGATAACTTCTTAAGATATACGAAGTATATAACTTCTTAAGAGCATAACTTCGTAAGATATGCATAACTTCCTATGTTATATATAGATTGCAAAGTCATTAAGAAAATTTCACCAAATCAATTGCCCCTTGCTTCATTATTTGAGTTCATGTATTTGAAAGAAAACATTTGCTTCATTATTTGAGTTCATGTATTTGAAGGAAAACATGAATAGAAAGGTCAAACCACTTACATTGCGATGTCCAGAGCAGTAGAGCACATAAAGCTGTTATTTCTTTCTTAAAAATCTGAAAAATTGAAAAAGAAAGAAATACAAATAATATCAGACAAACCAAATATGCTTAAGGGTAAAAAAATAGATGTGGCCACATTAGTTAAATAAAATATTTGAGTTCAATTAGGAAAAGTACCATCTATTACTAAGGGCAGTAATGTTTAAGTTTAAATTGGTTTTATTAAAACAAAAAAGCTATTTGACAAAAAGAGATTCAGTTCGTAAATTAAATTAGTCATATGCCATGAAAACAGGGTATGATGTTACTATGTATATATTATTAGGATATGAAGTATCAATATTAACAAAGTAGCAAGGCATACTTATAAAAGTATAAACTAACCCCAAAGTTGGATCTCAAGCAAAAATAAGTATCTCATATAGCAATAAAAATGATTGAGTCTTAATGAAGCTACCTTACTCTCAATGAATTGTGTATAAAGGAATTCACAACTTACAAACATGAAGCAATTTATTGATATAAGTAAAGGGAATCATATAGCCATTCTATCAGAGACAAAATCCTATCAATTGAATGGATGGAAACAAAAATGGGTACACAAAGAACAAAAAAACGTAACCAAAATTCAGTGAGATGAAGTATTGCATGAAACTTAGCTTCAAATAGAAATTCAAATAAACAGACTGATGCTGAAATTATAAAATTTGCTGATTTAAGAAATAAATAAACAATGACTTTACCGCCAGTGAAAAATTCCTTCTATAGTGTATGCCCGATGGACGATACACTATAGTGACCGATCTAGGTGCCTATCTACTGAAGAAGTTGGCATACACGGTCGATGGAGTGCACCTGGGTGGCTGGGATATCTTTACCATCTGCACCGACCGCATATGGACATACTTGTATATAGTTTCCACCTGATTCCCTGTTGGTAAGGAGCTTAGAAGATTTCAGCAAACCATTGCTTCCTCGTTCTTATATTTCAGTGAACCATTGAAACCAAACCTGAAAAAACCAGCCATTTGCAGAAATCAAAGTATAAAAAGTCCAGCCATTTGTTCTTTTATGCATAATTATATGATATATATTGATTAATTGATACCAAACCTACAAAATCCATTTCTAGAATATCAAACTTCTTTTCAGATTTTCAGTCTTTCAGATTCATAAGAAAATCACCAAAATCCAATAAAAGGAATGCTAGCTCCCTTTCAGAATCATAATATAAACAAAATGAATGATAGGAAATTGATGAAGTCAAGATAATAATGAAACAATTGAAGTTTTAAACTCAGAGGTAATTTAAATAAGTAAAAAGTTCAAGCTCAGTGCAATTTAGAAAACAAAACTATATTTTGAAAACCATGGATTAATGAACTAACAGCACTATAGATTCTTAAAACAAATCCATTGATTAATGATCTTACAGCAATCTAAGAAAACTCATTAAGCACAATGCAAACTTCATGTACATCCGACCTTCTGTTATAACTGAGGCATATATTGTAGCGCTATATCCTACCAGGATACTTCTATTTTAGTATAGTTCCAACTTAACTATATTTCTTTTATACACAAACTTTATGGTGTGTACATGCCACCGAAGGCTACTATTTAAACTATGCACATTTTGAATTTGGACTATACACGAAATGTACAAAAAATAGGGGTAACATATGAGAAATGACAGTAGCATAAAAACAGATTGATTACATTCTCAAAGATCAGCTCAAGGCAAGAGTGGATCACACATTCTATTTCAGTCTAAAAAATAAAAAAACATTTCACTTTTTCATGTTGAGATGTAATGGTGAGCATAAAACACAATTCAATGGGACAATCTCAACCTTAAGTTATATGCCCAAGTTGTATTCCAGTCTAATAAAAAAGGTTTGCTTAATCATTTTAGGGGTTATGGTTATAGTTTCAGTTTATGTTTCTGCTTTTAAAAAAGTTCTTTTATTAACTCAAGTTTTTTTGAGATGTTGAACTTAAGTTTTTGCATCCCTTTTCGTACAGCAAAAAACTGAAATGCATATCTAAAACTGGCAGCTATATAATAACAACAACAATAATAAGCAGAATCAGAAGTGCCGAGTGCGTTTATTTATAACTACTGAAATTGATCTAAAAGATTTTATTGTTTCCACATCCTAAGTTATCAAATGCCTGTGAACAGTAAGTGTGGTTTTACCTAAACCAATATCAACGAAAACTTCTAAGCAGCCTACAAGTAAACTAAAAAAGATAGACCAAATCAATGAAGTTATAAAATGAATATGATTCCAAGATTAGTAAAAAATGGGGAGCAAGAGCAGATTGAAATGAAGTAGATATTGTATTTTAATCATGTAATACTTCAATAATTACTTGGTTTGTGTTACTGTGAAGCAGGAAAACATAAAAACCAAACATGGGAAAGAACCTCTGCCGTTAAACTTCATTTAAATAACTGAAGTTGGATTCCACAAGCTAAAAACGGGTCTACCGGAGGATTACACAAGCTTTCTGGTGTTGGACTCCACAGCCTAAAAACGGGTCCACTGGAGGATTACACAAGCTTTCTGGTGTTGGATTCCATACCCTAAAAACGGGTCTACTGAAGGCTAAAACCTGAACACACCAATTCTAGGTTGCTCTTGTGTGAGGCGGGGAAATCGGCGGTGGAAGTCGGATAATAGAAAGGAGATGAAGATGTGAAGCTTTAATTTCCGTGGCTGTGCAGACGATGGAGAAGGAGATGAAGCGGGGTAGATCGAAGAAAGGGAAGGAACGGTGAGATGCAATCTAATGTGGAAAGATTTCCGGCAAAATTGAAGGTGGCCATTTCTGTGTGAGAGAGATTTGGTCATCTTCTTGTTCGGTGGCTAAGATGCAAGGAAAGGAAGGAGAAACGGGAACAGAGATGGACGGAGGAGGAAGTGAGTGAAGACTGAAGAGGCTCGAATGGGGGAAAGATGCAAGGAACGAAGGTTGCGATTAGTTTGAAGCGAACGTTGAGGGTATAATTTGGGATGAGGCGAGATTACTGTTCATTCAATGAAAACACTGTTCAGCTGGAAAAAAATCTTCTATTATACAGAAGCAAGAGATTATTTGATTAGATTCAAATCAGCCAAAAAATCAGCCAAAAAATGACTGATAGACTCCTAACCAAAAATGAATGATTGGCTGATTTGACTGAATTTAGCTTTTCGATCAAATCAAACAGTTAAAAAAAGTGATTGGTTAAATGGCATTTTCAATTTGCTTTTTGTTCCAAACAGACAAATTCTGAAACGACAACTGTTAGATTATTGGACTTATACTACATGTAATATTCACAATATATTATTTATCGGGTTTAATTGTATGTTATATGTTATCTTATATTTAGGCCCAAAAATTAGTGGTCATATGGATATTAATTTAAGTGGGCTAATAAGTTATCTAATAAGGTATAGGGCCCAAATGTGTAGAGACTCATGGGCTTGACCTAATCAATGATGGGTTGATTAGGGTTAAGCACTCTCTATAAATAAGGGGTTATGGTCTCTAGTTGAACATGTCATTCCGTCTTTCTGCATCCCATCGCTAGAGAGATAATTCCCGAGGGCGTGTATCAGCTAGAAGACGCAAACCCTAGCCTCCGTCTCCCAGATCCCTAAAGATCATCTCCGCTCAGTTAATTCTCTAGATAATTTCAATATGAAGATTAAAGTAATAATGGATTTATTCCAACAATTGGTATCAGAGCCACCTTCATATTGAATTATTTGGAGTCAGTATAATTTGTCGATTAATCTGTCAATTCGTTCCTAATTGTTGAATCGGCAGTTGATGATTAAATGGAAATTGAAATTTTCTTGTATCGGTGCCGATTAGATTTGCGGCAACATATTTGGGTTTCGTTTTATTTTTTGCTTCATCCTCATTTAAGCAAATCCTGATTCGCACGATCATGCTGAGGTACTGAGAATTGTATCATCGTTATTATTATTAAGTGGAACTACATTAGAATCGGCATTTAATCTAATGCCACTACATGGATTCGGCATTATTATGTAAGATTTACATATCCCAGAATTTATGTTGAATATTTATCATGAATAATGTACTTTTGCTCTACGTTCAACACTATGGAATCATTAGTGACAGTTGTACGTAGTATTATTTTGATTGATTTATTTGTGTTTTGGAATCTAGCGATTAAGTTTTCGAAAAGTAATTCAATCTATTTTGGAACTACTATTGTGTGTGACTCTAAGCCAATTCCAGGTGATTTAAAAAAATAAATCACGATCTTCAATTCCTTTTCTTTAAGGAGTTCATTTAGCCTACGTATTCATTCGGTTGGGTTTTAAGAGTCTTCTATTCTTGCTCTAATTTCAGTTTTTTTTAGTCAGCCGAAATATATATATATGGGTGTCGCATTGAAATTAGTTGTGCATTCATTTTTCAGCGATTCAATTTCGGATTTATTTATGGTTTTGGTAATTAAATACATATATGTAATTACGGCCAATATCAGTTTTATTAAAAATGCATGATTTTGCATTACCGGAATATATTATTTTTTGGTCGTTGTAATTTGTGGCTTGAAAAAATATGTATTGTGTGCCAAACCCTATTTTATGATCGCACAGCGATTGGGTATGGGTTTTTACAAATTATCGTTATACATAATACATTTGCATGTGATTCAGAAAAATTTGCCCAATTTTATTTTTCAGATTTTCGAGTTAATATTAGCATGTCTAATATTTGAGTTAGTTAATTGATACAACATGCTGCCAAAGTAGCCTCTCTGGTTGAAATTAATTAACTCATATATTAAGATGATTGTGTACTTTCTTATTTCATGCGGATAATAATCGGCCCAAAGGAAGGTTATTATTTGGCCGAAATTTAAGTACATTTGTGATAATAAAATTTGTGATGATTATGAAGTTTTTCGTGTGAATATTAAGTCGGTCCAAAGAAAGGCTTAATATTTAACATGATTTTATTATCAAAATTTTATTATCACACCAAGAGTACCACTTGCAAGTCTAATTTATGTCCAAAGACAAGATTAGATGTTGCGGTAGGTATCTTGTGATGGGGATTGCTAATATTTAAATTTAAAATTAATTATCAAATTAATTTCAGTTCCTAGAGCATATCATTTATATTATTTTTTGTTCTCTTTCAGTCAACAATTCTGCTGCTACAATATCTGCTAATATTAATAGCATCCCAGTGCTTAACGGCACGAATTTTAAGGAATGGAAAGAGAATGTTATGATCGTTCTCGGTTGTATGGATCTAGACCTTGCACTTCGGACTGAGAAACCCGCCGCTCTTAAGGACACATCTACCCTCGATGAAAAGAGGGAGATGGAGAGGTGGGAACGCTCAAATTGCATGAGTCTAATGATCATGAAATGTGCAATTCCAGAATCATTCAGGTGCACAATGTCTGATGAGGCTGATGCCAAATCGTTCCTTGTCGAACTTGAAAAGCGTTTTGCTAAAAACGAAAAGGCGGAAACTAGTACTCTTTTGAGCACTCTTATTTCCATTAAGTATAAAGGCAAAGGGAACATAAGGAAGTACATTTTGGAAATGTCTCACATTGCTTCAAAACTAAGTGCACTAAAGCTTATTTTACCTGAGGAATTGCTTGTGTATTTAGTTTTGATCTCTCTTCCTTCTCAATTTAATCAATTTAAAGTCAGTTACAACTGCATTAAGGAGAAATGGTCTCTCAATGAGCTCATTTCTCATTGTGTTCAAGAGGAAGAGAGAATAAAGCAAGATAAGACAGAAAGTGCTCATTTGGCATCCACCTCTAAGGGCAGCAATAAAAGGAAAATTAAGGAAGCTACAAATTCGGGGCCTCCCAGGAAGCATCACAAGGAAACTAAGGAAGAAACTAAGAAATCTGGATGCTTCTTTTGCAAAGGGACTAATCACAAGAAAAAGAACTGCACTAAGTACCATGCTTGGCGTGCGAAAAAGGGTATGTCTCTTGCTCTTGTTTGTTCTGAGGTTAATTTAATTTCGGTACCAAAAGACACTTGGTGGGTAGATTCCGGTGCTACTACTCACATAAGTGTATCTATGCAGGGTTGCCTGAGCTGCCGAAAACCAATTGATGGTGAAAGATACATCTATGTCGGTGATGGCAAGCGGGTTGAAGTTGAGGCTATCGGTGTTTTTAGATTATTATTAAAGACTGGTTTTTATTTGGATTTGAAAGAGATTTGTTGTGCCGTCATTTAGGCGGAATTTAATTTCTATTTCTGCATTGGACAAATTTGGTTATTCTTGTTCATTTGGAAATAGTCAGTTCAGTCTATTTCAAGATTCAAAACTTATTGATACTGGTCTTTTATCAGTTTATGATAAGAGCTATATCGATAAGGTTCTCAAAAGGTTTGGTATGGAAGACTGCAAACCAGGAGATACCCCAGTTTCTAAGTGAGACAAGTTTAGTCTCATGCAGTGCCCTAGGAATGGTTTTGAATCTAAAGAAATGAGGAACATTCCTCATGCTTCGGCTGTAGGAAGTTTGATGTATGCCCAGATTTGTACAAGACCTGATTTGGCATACATTGTTGGGATGTTAGACAGATATTTGAGCAATCCGGGAATGGACCATTGGAAAGCAGCCAAAAGGGTCATGCGGTATTTACAGAGAACAAAGGAATACATGCTCACATATCGGAGATCGGACCAGCTTGAGGTCATTGGGTATACCGACTCTGATTTTGCTGGATGTCAAGATAGCTTGAGATCCACTTCAGGCTACATCTATATTCTAGCTGGAGGAGCTATCTCCTGGAGGAGTATCAAGCAGACTCTTACACCTACTTCCACCATGGAAGCAGAGTTTATAGCATGTTATGAGGCATCCAATCAGGCATTATGGCTGCGAGATTTTGTTAGTGGACTACGCATAGTGGACAACATTGAAAGACCGCTAAAGCTATTGTGTGACAATAGGTCAGCAGTCCTTTATGCTAAGAACAACAGTAGTTTGACCAAGGCAAAACATATTGGGGTCAAATTTAAGGCTGTTAAGGAACGAGTACAAGAAGGAAAGTTATCTATAGGCACGTTAGCACAAACTCCATGATTGCGGATCCGCTCACTAAAGGATTACCACCCAAATTGTTTCATGAGCATGTTGCTCAAATGGGTGTCAAATCAGTTGCGGATTATGAGTTTTAGTGGGAGTTTGTAATGTTTCTATATTTGGTTAACTCAAGTTTAATGTTATTTTCTGCAGAAATAAAGTTTAAAGTTTTATTGTACTCTTACAGTTATATTATTGATCTCAAGGTGGACCAGTTTGAAATATACATTCTATTCCAGACCACACTTTATGTTATTTCCACACTACACACCTATACTTGATCCATGTCATTTATTATATTAATATACGTGATCATTGATGGGTCTAGTTATTCAAATATAGCAAAGACTTCTTTGGTCCTATGTTGATATAATTAATGGACCGAATTGATTAAAGATGACTACAATTTGATAGCAAAATTTTGGAGCTCCTAAAGTAAACATACAATGCTAAGGATTGTGTGTATTCATGTGTATGCCGTCCAAGTGGGAGATTGTTATATTATTGGACTTATACTACATGTAATATTCACAATATATTATTTATCGGGTTTAATTGTATGTTATATGCTATCTTATATTTAAGCCAAAAAATTAGTGATCCTATGGATATTAATTTAAGTGGGCTAATAAGTTATCTAATAAGGTATATGGCCCAAATGTGTAGAGACCTATGAGTTTGACCTAATCAATGATGGGCTGATTAGAGTTAAGCACTCTCTATAAATAAGGGGTTATGGTCCCTAGTTGAACATGTCATTCCGTCTTTCTGCATCTCATCGCTAGAGAGATAATTCCCGAGGGCGTCTATCAGCTAGAAGACACAAACCCTAACCTCCGTCTCCTACGGAGTCAGGATAATTTCTGCACTCTCCTATACTGCCCATCTACTCTTTTCCTGTATCTGCCTCCTGCGGCAGAAAAACCTTCCACCTAAGGGTGAAAAAAATCTCAACCAGCTTTCACCGAATTGATCGAAGAGCCAAAAAATAAAGATAGGAGCAAGCAGCCTTCTCCAACAGACCAACATGTATCTATCTAGTTCTGCACTTTAAAGTTTAGATATCTATACATGGTCTCTGGTTATATATATATATATATATATATATATATATATATATATATATATATATATATATATATACATACATACATATATATATACACATACATACATATATATCTATACATACATATATATATACATATATGTATATATATACGTATGATAATAACGGAAGAGAAAAATAATTTAAATACGTCTACCGAAAATCATGACACACCATCCACCGCCTTAAACAGGGGACTTGCGATTGAAACCCTTTTCGAGTTGAAACCCCACTACAGTGCTTCCAAGTTCATGATAAGAATGGAAGAGAATTGGTTTTCAATTAAGTCATACCTCAAGAAAATTGGCGTTTTAGTACCATTTTACTATTTTACGGGGTATTTTTGTTAATTAGAGAAGCAGAGATTTAGAATATGGCTAGCCCAGTGAGTCAAAATATCATTATTGCTAATTAATTTTATTAATTCATGAAAAGAAATGTTTAAAATAACTATTACTTGTGTGTATACATTTTTAGTTTTTTGATCATAAAAATGATTTAAGTAGTTCTACTAATTATAATGAGTATTAGTAAAAGTTAATTGTTGTCCTTAAAAGTCTTTTTTTTAATCCCGGAAGGCAAACCACCTAAGTCGGTGGGGTAAATGTCGGAGAACATTTACCGAGTTTTATTAAAATAAAATAAAAGTACAGAGGAAAGGGGGACCATACCAAAACCTTTCTCGGGGAGGCATACCTTTCGAAAATACAACAGTACTAAAAATAAAACAAAACAGCAATTGGGGGGGGGGGGGGGGGGGGGGCAAACCTAACCTAATTGATAAAAAGAAACACTAAACAAACCATCTAATATAAGGGATATTAAATAAATCAAAATTGAATTCCGTACGTACTGGACCGAGCAGAGAGTCGACCGACGTCCAAGAAGCAAAATGGGCCGGATGCAGTCTTGCAAGAAAATGGGCTGGCATATTACCTTCCCGAAAAGTATGAGTAAAGGAAATACCTTTCCTAACACAAAGCTGTCTGAAATCGATGATATCTTCTGACCTAGCAACGTTATTCCCACCTGAAAGAACGCTAAGTGCAGCCTCAGCATAAAGTTCTACCTGAAAATCACGAAATCCTTCAGCAATCACCCAACTCGTAGCCTTTATCGCAGCAAGCAGCTCCGCTTGCAAAGATGAAGTAGCAGTTATCGGAAAAGCAAGCGCACAAATCAGCTCTCCTCTTGGATTCCTCAAAATCGCTCCACCTGAAGCCAAATCTGGTATGTAAGCTCCATCGATGTTTAACTTCATTCCTTTGTTAGGTTTCATCCAGCGAATTGGTTTTAAAAGTCTGTGATTAAGTTTGAAAGTAGGAGGAATTAAATGTTCATCGTATAAGATGTTATCGATCTTGCCAAGCATCTGATTTGAAAGACTTAATACCCAGTGCTGAGTGTAAAGTTTGATTTGCCAAACTGTATTAGCGATGTTAGGCATCCCAGAGCCAGATCCCCATACTAAATCAGTATAAACCTTCCAAATGTTCCAACATATAATACCAGGAAGGTTATGCTTGAACAAGTCAATCAGATTTTTACTACCAATCTCTAATCACCAAATCATAAAAATGCTGCGCATATGAAAACAGTGGGTAGGCATAGAGATGGACATAATCTTAGCAAAATAGGACCAAATAGCCTTAGAGAAATCACACTCCAGAAAGATGTGAAGAGTAGAATCATTATTATGCCTACAAAGGGGGAACATAGAAGGCTGAATAACCTTCCTAAATCTAACCATCCTGTCAGAAATAGGTAAGATTCCCTTAAGGAGTCTCCATTGAAACAGTTTGATTTTAGGTTGTTGCTTAGGGTGCCACAACTGTTTAAAGACAAGGGAGGAACCCAAAGAATGCCTGATTGCATTATAAGCAGATTTAAGAGTAAACTGACCATCTTTTGTAACTTTCCAGGTAACTTGGGAGTCTGAAGAATCAATTAAGGAGACAGCCAGATCATTAACCAAGCACAACCTTCTCCAAATAGGTGAGTCAGTAATTTTGATCCTCATATCCCCTCCCCTAGGATATCTAGCTTTCATGAAGTCAGACCAAAGACAAGAGGATGTCTTCCATTTCCACCAGAGTTTGAGAGAAAAGGCTCTTTCAACATCATTAAGGGATCTAAGATCCAAACCCCCTTCTTCTTTAGGATAACAGAGATTTTTCCAACTGACCCAATGATATTTAGGTCTATTATTAGAAGAACCCCATAAGAAATTAGCCATTTTCTTCTCAATAATATTTTTAATCTTAATAGGCAGAATATCAACTGCCAAAAGGTGCACGGGGATGGATCCCATAACATGCCTAATCAAAATGAGCCTACCCCCCATGGATAGGTTTTTTTTTGTTTCCAGGAAGTAAACCTAGAATCAAATTGATGAATAAGCTGCTGACAATATTGCTTTCTGTTTATGCCCTTGTGCAGATTGGCTCCCAGGTATTTCATAGGCAGATCTGACTTTTGCATGCCAACAGCTCCTGAATGGCCTGTACTCTGTAAGTAGCATTTTTACCACAAATGAAAGAACTTTTTTCAAAATTAACAGCCTGCCTAGAAGAGTCTTGGTATAAAGTTAAGAATCTGTGAAAATTCTTTAGGGATCTGGAATCACCATTCAGAAATATGAGTAGGTCATCAGCATAACCTAGATGTGAAACAGGATTCCCATTATTTCCAAGCCAGAAAGGCTTAATTAACCCTCTAGAAACATACCAATTTAAACCCCTAGAAAAAGCTTCAGAAGCCAGAATAAACAAATAAGGGGATAAAGGATCCTCTTGCTTGACACCTCTGGTAGGTTTGAAGAAACCATGGCTAAGTTTGAAGAACATGCCTAATTTGTGGGGTTTGAGGGGTCTTTTGGAGGGTGGCTAAGTTCTCATAATGTTAAACTACCTCCGCCCCCTAATATTCGGACGAATGGGTGATGTGATTTTTAAAAAAAATGGAATTTTATGCTTGAAAATGAGTTGATGAAGTGAAAATAAAATAAGAATGAATTTGAGCCACACAGATATTACCAAATATGATATGAGACAAATTTAGTGGGACGGGCGAAAAAGTAAAATGAGACAATTATAGTGGATCGTGTCTCAACGATTATCCAGCTCTATGTCTCATCCCAGTGTAGTCTTTAATGTGGAGGCTTTGTATTTGGTTCTCATTTTTAATATAACTTTATATGGCCAAAAACTATCATTTTCAAAACTTTGACCAAATATATCTTTTTATTGGAAATTATTTATAATATAAAAATTATATGATAATGTTCTTTGTTATAAGTACTTACATAAAAGTATAAATTTTTAATTTACATAATATTATACTAATCAAAATGAAATTTCAAATTTTATAAAATGGCAAAGTTTTTTGGGACGGAGGTAGTATGAATTAAGTTATCTTTTGTCAAAAAAATTAATCATTAAATTATGTTTGACATATATTCTCTTTTGGACGGATTACACTATCCATCCTCTAGGCCCATTTATGGGCCGCCTTTTTCATTCCTTTAGGGCGTGCTTGGCTTTTTTCCTTTCCCATCTTGTAAATTCCTTTTACTAATTTAATCTTAAAAAAAGCATTATTATATTAACTTCGTATTTAACATGATATATATACCAATCTATTAATCCACTCATTTTTCAGATAACAGATCTGAAAAGTTAGACGTTAACATGAAAATGAAGAATGTTCACATTTGGGTAGAGGGTGGCAAGCTCTGGAAAATTTTCCATATGGGTAGCAAATCTAGTATACCTGAAAAAAGGCGAGGACGAAGTTGTTTGAACTTTATATTATGGTATACAACTCTACCAGTAAAAAAGAAGATTTTGCAGCTTCTCACTGAAATGCAGCTGTTATTCGACACCAAGTGGGTCCTACACTGATCAGTGCCAAGTATTTTAAAAAAAGTATCTCAGAGCAATAAAATAAGCACATGTAGCTGTAAACTTGATAGAGAAGTATATCATACCCCCAGGCCCCCAAAAAAGCCTTCTTCAAGGTTCAAGTTTTTAATTTTAGCCGCTTAATCAATGTAAGAACCTTACTATTTAGGAATGCTCACCGATAGCCATGACCGTTTGGGATCATCATTACCCTAGTGCCGCAAAGGCTCCCACCTATGGGATCACCTATAGCAATCTTTCAAAACCGGCTTTTTTTTCTTTGGGATAAAAAACAATTTAAGAGCACTTGTTTTGGACTGAGTCAGTATATGAAAGGAGTACAAATCTACACAGAATATTTTAACCTAATCAGCAGGCTCTCTGCAAGTTGTACTCATATTCCAAGGTCTCATAAATACTTTCTGAGAAGATGAAACCCAACATATTCTAATTAGGTGGTGATTAGAGAATATTGACTAATATATGTACAAAGATGGGGGTGGTTACATAATGATGCTTGGTGCAGTTTAAGGAAACGGAATCCGACGGTCAACAGAAATTGCTAAGAGTACAGTGATGATCAAGATCTTTCATCCTCAAACAAAAGAATGCGCTTCATGATTAAATTAAAGGGCGTAAAGATATTACGCTTTTAGTGCCAATATATGCTCACAGCAACTCCAAGCCATTGCAAATCCATCAGACGAAGATGTTGCAGAGATGTTAGTGATCAATACACATTTCAGAGATGTTTTGCACTATAAAAGCTGTCTCTTTCATGAACTGCATAGACAAATCACATGAAAGTATGACACACTCTTATCTTTTGACATGGAAATTTTAGGATTAATAAACACAATAGAGCACAGATAGCTGGAATCTTGATCAGGTACTTGTAATTGCATATCATGATATTAGCTAACATTTCTGATGTTAATTCACACTAACACTAAAGCCTTGTTTGGTTGAAGCAAGAGAAGGAAAGAGCAAGAGTGCGGTGTGCTTGGTTGGGAAAGTTATGGGGGGAGGGGACGAAAGTGTATGAGCCGTAGACTCATGCCAACTCCTCATATCTCCCTCCCTCTTGGGGTCTTCCGTAGCCCGTAGGAGTTAATTTGTTTTTTCTTTATTTCTTTTTCAATTTTTCTTTTGTTTTTTTAACTTATTCTGTTTTATTAAAAAGAGTAATAACAAGATAAAATGAGGGGGGGGGGGGGGGGGGGGGGGGGGGGGGGGGAGGGGGGGGGGGGGGGGGCGAAAACCTTACCTCATCTACTTAATGCAAAAGAATCTAAAATCCACTATTATGCAACAATAATGCTCAAAAATAACAATTTCATATGCTACTCTAAAATAATACGTAGTATTTCTTTCTTGATCCATTCAGCCAAACAAATCATGTTTCTAAACTCTCTCGTTTTCATCCCTTCCCTCACCTTTACTGATTATGACTATGAAAAAGCATAACCCCCATGCAAAGATTAAAATTACATGATTTTTTCTATATTTCCTATGATTAAAGAAACAAATAATCAAAATAGGAACATGACCTCCCTATTTATCTCTAGAAGCTCTTACCGTGCACCACCTGACCTCCCTATTTACTATTATTTCAGCCGAAATAATTATGTTCATTGTGAAACTTTTCTATGATTAAAGAAACAAATAATCAAAATAGGAACATGACCTCCCTATTTATCTCTAGAAGCTCTTACCGTGCACCACCTGACCTCCCTATTTACTATTATTTCAGCCGAAATAATTATGTTCATTGTGAAACTTTTCTCAAAGAGGTGAAATATCCACATTGCATGACTAGTCTTCATATAGCTAATATCAGGATACAACTAAACTTAGTGTGGCACCAAATGATATCATTCAGCATTGCAAAAATTACAAACACAGGCAAATCCCCCCCCCCCCCCCCCCCCCCCCCTCTCCCAAGAATAAATAGATATGAATCATGCTAAAGTCAATGAATGACATAAATACTAGCAAGCAACTCTCCGGATGTGTAGTATAAGATAGGCATACCGTAAAAAGTAAAAGATAGGCATACCGTGCCCCAAGTCCAATCCCCCTAAAAAAACAAAAGAAAAGTCACTTTCACAACAATCTCCACAATAAGTTATGCATTATAATTACATCATATGTGAAATCCATATGAACTCAAAGTAGTTAAGTTAATCGTGCACATGTATACCAGTCCGATAGCATTCATAGCGTAACTACATTCCACCATAAATGTGCCTGTTTGTTGATAACTTTTGTCAAACAAGATGGATGTATCGAAATGTACATTAAGACTAATAGTTTTTGGTAACAGTAAGCTAAATTAGAATAACTAATTTTAAGAACTAATATTTTCACAATTTCCCTTTATATTCAGGAGCATATGAAGCAGAGTGGAATCCGGTCCCTTTTCCAAGATAATCTTCAGTACAATCTCACAGGTGCTAATGTCGGGTGTGAGTCCGAGACTTGACATCTCTTCCAAATGTAATACAGCTTCACAATACTCATTCTTTTTCAGTAACCCACGGATGAATATATTGTATGCCACACTATCAGCCATGTAACCGTTTTTCTCCATTTTCTTGAGCATATCTCTAGCGTCCTCTAGAGAGCCTTCTCGGCAAAGTCCACTTATCATACTACTGTAGGTAAATTCATCGGGCAGAATTCCTCTAGAGGGAAGGGCATTAAATAGTTCCATTGCACTCCATGCGTTCCCATCATTCCATAGTCCAATAATGACACTAGTATAGCTGACTATATTTGGGGTAGGACTACGAGCTTCCATCATTCTCAATAAAGAGCGCTTGTGGAACACGATGATTCTTACAGAATCCATCTAGAAGAATATTGTAGGTGAAGAGATTTGGATGTTCTCGATTTCTCACCATTTCCTTATAAAGCTTCTCAGCATCCTCACATTTCCCATTGTGAAACAAACACGCCAACATAGTGTTGTAGGTAACAACATCGGGTTTTAAGCCTCGACTTTGTAAATTTCCAAATAAGTGTACGGCTTGATCTGAACACCCACTCTTGCAATATCCATTCATTAAAATGTTATAAGTGTAAATATCAGGGTCACATCCCCGATCTATCATGGTCTGTAGGAGTTCCAACGCATTGTTTAGTTTTCCATGTAAGCAGTATCCATCCATCAAAGCACTGTATGTGATTGCATTAGGTTCCAGACCTTCTTTAATCATCATATCTATGAGCTTTGCAGCACTGTCAAACCATCCTTCCCAGCAAAACCCATTCACTAGAATGGTGTATGTCTGAACATCCAGAGAAACTCGGTAATCCGTCATTCTTTTGAGCAACTCTTTGACCGCTTCCCACCGACTGAGTTTGCAGAGCCCATCAATAAGTGAATTATATGTCACAACATTAGGAGGAAGGCCCATTTCCATCATCTTCTCTAACAGGCGAAGAGCAATCGTCAACCATTTTATCCTTACACAAGGAGTCAATAATGGTGCTATATGAAAATACATTTGGCTTGCAGTTTCCCTTCTCTTCAAATAAGTGAAGCAGCTTAACAGCCTTACCAATGTGTCCTGCCTTACAGAGGCCATCAATCAGTGTTGATGATGTAACTTCATCTACCTCACACATTTTCTCATTCAAGACCTTCTGGAACAACCAAACAGCATCTTGAACCCTATGTTGCAGAAAAAGTCCTTTCAGTAAGGTGTTGAACAAAATCACACCAGGTACTAGACCCAGCTTGAAATGGATCCCTAAAACAGCAAATGCAAAATCTAGTTTGTGCAAACGGGCAAGGGAATTGGCAGCAATACTCAGGGTAAACTCGTCTATCAGAAGGTCGGAAACAAGAATATCTCGAAATAGAGAGACAGCCTCATGGTAACAACCCATCTTGACAACAGCATTTAAGAGGTGGTTGAATTTCGGGATGGGAGGACGAGGTCTCATTGTAACCATGTGACGGTACAAAGCAATTGCATCGTCCAGTTTAATAATACTCGCAAACTTAGATTTACTGAGTTGAGAGTACGAATCTTGAATTTTCGTACTATGATGAAAACCACCGGAGAAGTTAAGCAGGGGAAAGTGAGGGATGGGTAAATGGAGGTTACCCGGTGATAATGCTCTCCAGGCCCAACTGAAAAAGTGCCCGGCAAAGCCATTCATTTTCTTCATTTTCAGGCAGGCTCTTAGCTGTTCCAAAACCACATCTAGAGGGGTCTCTCCCTCCCTGTTTCCATTTTGGAATATCACTATGTAGCTGTGCAGGCCGGTCACGCTGAAAGTGCGTCAAAGATACACAAAAAGAAGGAGACGAGACCCATAGAGATAACCATGCCATTCAGAGGTATTTCTTTGCCACTTTGGTAGCGTCGGGCGGTCGGTCAAGCCGGCAGCGTGTACCAAAGATTTAGTACTTGAATTACTGTATCACTTTATTTATTAAAATTTATTTACTCGGTATTGAAAAAATATGTACACATCTTTCCACAAAATCAGTTCGTATAAGGTGCAACCCGTCCACCTTGAATATCATGTTTCATTCCCAAAAATGATGCAGTTTTACATAATTTTAAAAGAAAAATTCGCGGAACAGTACACGCGTGTACAGTAGTTGTTTTTTTTCTTTTTGGCCCAGTAACATGAATGATGTAACTCACATGTAAAGATATGTAACTCACGTGTAAAGATATGTAACACGAGTCCGTTCGAAATGTAACTTGTCAAATACATAGTATAAGAAATAAAATATTAATTTCAAATATTCAATGTAAACAATAAAAAGTGATAGTCTAATTGCACAATTGCTTTAGGTAAAACGGGATTATATTTTGTTTTAAATATCATGGCTATAAAAATATTTTTTTAGAAAAGATAATTTTTTGTTTCAATAGCAAGGGTTGATTTCTTAATGTAACTTGTGTTATCACAAATGTAACTCGCGTTGATGGCAAATGTAACTTATGTGTATACAAAATGTAACTTGTTGGAAAATTGAACAACATTTTTGTGTGTGTGTTTGAGATATTATAAACATTGATTTCAATGTAAACAATGAAAAATTGATCCTAATATTATAAATCTCTGATTGGGATCAGAGATTTATAGGGTTTGTTGAACTGTTATGCTTGTTCATATGCGCATGGAGTATTTTTCTTCTTGAATGGGTGAGCAGAAATTGACCAGGAGAGAGCAGGGAACTAAGAACAGCAGAAGAGACCTACTATTCGGATGTGGCACTCCCAGGAGTCCCAGGTTCAGAGCAATTACAGAGTGAAAGGAGGATCGTTGTTTGGAAGCAGAGCAGATGTGCAGCAACAAAGGTCGGGACTCTCTGTTTGAGTGGTGCAGCGATTTTTTTTAATCCCAAAACTATACATTTTTGGGATCGTTGCACCGTGCTTACGGTGCAATGATCCCACGGTATAATTTGCGCTACAAAATGGATATACATTCCCGCTTCAAATTGGATTATATACTAAATATATTAAATAAAGTGGTAACACTGTGGGGCTGGAGGAGAGGAAACGCTTAGTAAGTAATGTGGGTGTAAAACGAATATTTTGAGCCTATTTGGTAACGCTAAAATTGGCTAAATTGGCTGATTCTGCTAAAATTTATGAAATTCTGTCTGAAGTGATTGTATTGGTTGATTCTGCTGATTAATGAAAAAATTATATTTAAAATATTTGATATTAATAAATTAAATCGGAAAATATATGAAAAATTTAATCTATAGTAACTTCAGCCAATACAGCCAGAAAAGTAACTCTAACCTTACTTTTTTTTGCTTATTACAAACTTCAGCACGCGAAATCAAAATTTACGTGTTTGGTAAAAAAGCTGGATGATAAGCCTGAAAAGCCGGAAAAAAAAGGGTCATCAAATGGGCTCTTAATGGTACCCTAACCGCCTAACTTTAGAGCGGAAGCAATTATGACTTAACATGGACAAGAACGTTTACATGATGTACATTGACTTTGTGTAATATAAGAGTCATCAACGCTTTTTCCATCGCTATTATATCCTTGACATTATTCACTCCTATAATATTGGAAAGAGATTTTAGAGTTTAATGCATCAAACCTCAATTATCATGGGAAGGTCCATAAAAAATGATATTACCAAATTCGTTTTTTAAAACTAATCCAAACAAATCTGAAAAATCCAAAGAGGGAGATGGTTTGGAGGTCTTCTTGAAAAGGCATACCTCCTAATTTTTTAAACTTTTGGGAACTTTTTAAAATCAGAGTTACAGCTCATCATCTTTCTCCGGTGATTTTTAACGATGTTAGACGTCATGTCCTCATGTGATAAGAGAATTGAAACACATGGCCTAATTTCTTAAACAAATCAAACACGATCTCTATCTGAAAATGAATACAACCACATATACTTTTTCTATACTCTTCCCTTTTTATTTTGGTGACTCGATTTGAAGGAATGAAAAATTCTTTATAAAATATGTCATACTACCTCCTTCCCCGATTTAAGGTTCTCATTGAAAAGTGGCATGGTTATTTAAACAATAATTGAAGTATATTTTGAAAAAGTAGTTTTTATGGGTATGCATATAATAAGGCCGTTGATGATAAATGTGGTGTTATGTGTGTATTATATTTGTCATTTTGTGATTAATTTAGCATTTAAAAGTTCTAATTATTTTCAAAAGAGACAAGTAAAAACATTAAGCTTGAGTAGAGAGAATACATTGTATCCGTGAGCACTTAGGAAAATTCGTGAAATTTGAGTCAAACGTTTGAGAATCTTTCCTTAAAACTTTGCCAAAATTCTAATTATTGTCATGTTTTTATTCTCTAAATAATACTCCATCCGTCCCTTAAAACTTTGTCATCTTTCCTTTTTGGGATGTCCCAAAAAACTTTGACACTTTCCCTTTTAATCATTTACTTTGTGCTTTCTGTTATATTTCTCTCCTTTGCACAAACCTCAACCACACAGTTTTTATTTTATTATTCTCTGTGCCGGTCAACTTTGGCAAAGTTTTAAGGGACGGAGGTAGTACATAGTATTAGTTACTTTCATGTTTTGGCAATACCAGATTTTAATCATGACAATATTTTCTAATTTTGACAATAATCACTCTATTTAGACAATAAAAATATGATAATCCTATTTAAAATACATAAACGTTTTTACTACTATTTAGTGCAATTTCCTTTTTTATTTTTTCAACTACACGAGATAGAGCCTCATTGATTCTCGGTACCGAGAAAATATCCACAATCATATAATTTCTTCGTTGCTTATGAGTTTTTTAGGATGTTTTCTTTAGGACTGAAATTTGCTAAAAACGATTTTTTTTCCGCTAAAAACGAAGTGTCAGCTGAAATTGAATTGCATCTATAATAACATTATATGTGTTCTCTAATGTTTGTGTAGCTTCTATTACGGCTACCTTGTTTGCCATCGCCAGTTTTTTTAGATGCATTTATTATGATTTTTTCTTGGTGTGAATCCCATGAACGTCATCCTTACCAGTGGAGGAGCTAGGGGGGCAAGGGGGGCAAGTGCTCCCGCTCCGACTAATTTTTTTTACTAGTATTACTTATAATATGTTTCTTGCCCCGGCTTCTTTTTTAATTTTAAAAACAATAAATACAACTTAAGGTTATTTTAAGATGAAGTGTTAAAATAAATAAAAAAGAATTTTCAGAAAAAGTAAAAAAATGAAATATAGAATAAAAGGGGATTAATGTATGTAATACATTTGGCATCCCAATTTGCCAATAATCCGGAGTAGCTCAGTGGAGACAGGTAACACGCTCCCTTCGTATCACCCGTGTTTGAATCCCCCCCAAGACGGATTAAGTTAAACTTGTTTTGCTTTTCTTCCGCCCCAATTCTTCCAATTTTATTTTCTTCAGCCTACAACTCGTCCCACACCGGATGAAATAGAGGATTCACTCCTCATTTGAGCCTATATAATCGCTCCTTCATAGTTGATAAAGATTAAGTTGCTAGTAAAGCTTGAGTGCAAGTATTAGCTACAATATAAACAAATATTGAATACCCATTCGGTTTTTGTGAAAAAACCGAATAACCGGACCGAAAATTCGGTGTCCGAAAAATTGGGTCCCAACTTAGATCGGTTCGGTTTCGGGTTATAGAATATACGAAACCGAAAGATCGGTTCGGTTCGGATATTTCCTATTTCGGTTCGGTTCCCGAACCGAATCCAGCCCTAGTTCTCACTTCTCCCCATTTGTTCTCAGATTCTGCAATTTTCAAGTAAGTTTCTCATCTGCCAATTTATGCCCATATTAATTATTTGCTCTCATCCCTAACGAAAAGTCAGAAATTATTTGTGTGAATCCTCAAATCTCAGTTCTAGATGCAATTTAATGCTATTTGTATAAGGAACATTTTTAATTCATACTTATTTTTGTTATATTTAGGAGTATGAGTTTGGATAAATTTGTAATTAAGACTAAGAGGTCTTTGATTGGAGGTGTTAGTTCTTCAATTGTTCCTAATCAGTCTATCTCTAGTGTTGAAAATGCCACTGCGTCAAATGAAAATATTGCTAGAGATGAGAGGAATGAGAGGGACAAGAGAGCCTAGGTTGCAGAAGTAAATCAAGTAATATGTAATGAACTATAATTTTTTGTTAAATTATTACGCTATTGTTGTTCTTATTATATTTTGGACATGAACTTTAAAATTTTTAGTCTTTGGTTTGCCCCTCCTTGGACAAACCTCTTGCTCCGCCACTGATCCTTACAATCTTATTATAGTAATTTTTGGCAGGAACTTGTAGAGCAAGATTCCTATTATATTAAGATAGACTTGGCATATTTTTCAGTTCTTTTCTGTTTTTGATACTCAACAAAGTCACAATGCTGATACAGTATTTCAGATGACACTAGACACAACGTGTTGAACTGAACTCTAAACACGTCCACCAATATAACACTCTTTAAGATTCTGCAAAGATTCCCTCAAAGAATCTTCGTTTTGATTGGAATACTTCAAGCATATGAGCCGTTGCACAACACGGTAGATCATTTGAAGGTCATTGTTTTGTTGGCAATTCACCTCTGCTCTCTTTGTTTTCTGGTGCAAGTGAAAATATCAAACCGTTAAAAAATGTCAAGGCATTTCCTGTTTTTCATTTCATTTTCTTTGTGGATGGCTCTTAATGAATATGCACTAAATTTAATAGAATCTAACAATTCTAACGTCAAAATTTTCCAAATAAAGATGAAGTCCTACAAATGGGAGCGTTTTATTCCAAGTATATTCGAGATTTTTCAAGTAGAGGATGACATATGGATCAATCGCTTAAGCCACCGATTCATCGGACAAAAGATCCATCCATTTACTATAATTGTAGAGCTGAATATCAAATTCATTTATACTCATCTACCTTTTATGTATAGAGATGATTGAGCAGTGCATATATTCCTTTGAGTTGATATTGTCCCATTGACTTAGCATATTTTTCTAAATGAACATGAAAAGTTTAATGGATCTATGTACTAAAAAGAATTTTATGTAAACCAATGAATGACTAAAATTACTAATGAATTGGATTCGAACTTCTTAGTGGATGTCCGGATGAGTTGCGTAATAAACCATTGAATGGACTGTATGTATATGGTGGATTATATATGTGGGTGTGCAGTACATAAACACACAGACACACAAATATTTGAAACTGTTACTTTGAAACATCAAAGAAATGATTGAGAGATGAGTGAGAGAACACCTTTAGTGTGATAGTTGATGTGATTCTTTTGGCAGTTTCAATGACTGAACTTGGCAACCCAGCCACTCCTGCTAGCATCAGTCCATAATGTGGCACATGACATTTTCCATCTTTCAGTTGAAACTAGAAGCATGGAAAAAGCAGTATATCATATTTACAATGTAAAAATGCACATGCATATAAGATCAAGATTTTTTTCAAGCAAAGTTAGATGTTTACCTTGAAATCCATCCGGTTGTTTTTCACCTCAACATGAAAATGAAGAATTTTCACATTTGGGTAGAGAGTGGCAAGCTCTGAAAGATTTTCCATATGGGTAGCAAATATAGTATACCTGAAAAAAGACTAGGACAAAGTTGATTAAACTTTATTTTCTGGTATAGAAGATTCTGCAGGTTGTCATGGAAATGCATCTGTTATTCAACACCTAGTGTGTGATGTGTCCTATACTGATCAGTGACAAGAAATTCTAAAAAAGTATCTCGAAGCACTAAAAGAAGTATGAAGCTGTAAACTTGATAGAGTATAACATCCCCCCCCCCCCCCCCCCTCCAAAAAAATACTTTTAAAGGTTCAGCCTTTTATTATTAGCCAGCTTAATCAATGTAAGAACCTTAGTATTTATGAATGCTCACCTATACCACTATATACTTATTGCCATGATAATTTGGGGTAATTTACTAAAATGGCTTGCCACTTGCTACAGAGAATTTTTACTTAAAATGAAAGCAATCTTTTAAAACCGCATTTTTTCCCTTTGGGATAAAGAACAAACTGGTCTTTTTTGGACCGAGTGAGTATATGAAAGGAGTACAAATTGACAGACACTATACATTAACCTAGGCTCTCTGCAAGTTGTACTCATATTCCAAGGTCCAATAAATGCTTTGTGAGAAGAGGATGGCGATATTGAATAATATATGTACAAATACGGGAATGGTAACACAATGATGCTCGTTGCAGATTAAGAATACTGAATCCAAGGGACCATAGAAATTGCAAAAAGTGATGCTCAAAGCCTTTCATCCTCAAACACACGAATGTGCATCATGCTTAAATTAAAGGGCGAAGAGAGATTACGCTTTAAGTGCCAATAAATGCTCACAGCAACTCCAAGCCATTGCAAATCCATCAGAAGAAGATGTCGCTCTCCCCAACTCATCCATCACAACAAGACTTCTGCACTCAAGAACTAACTTCTAAGTTGTTTACAATTAAAATATTAACAAATCAAAAATCTTTTCTGATCATTATCAAGATGGTTAGTGGGGGATCAATACACCTTTCAGAGATGTTTTGTACTATAAAAGCTGTCTCTTTCATCTCAGTCATGAACTGCATAGGCAAATCACATAAAAGTATGAGTTACTTGGTATATTTTGACATGAAAATTTTAGGATTAATATATAGAAAGAACACAAATAGTTGGGATCTTGGTCAAGTACTTCTAATTGCATATCATTATGTTAGCTAACATTTCTGATGTTAATTCACATTAAACACTAAAGCTTTGTTTGGTTGAAGCAAGAGAATGAAAGTGGAAGAGTGTTGTGTGCTTTGGTTGGGAAAGTTATGGGGGAAGGCGATGAAAGTGTATGAGATGTAGACTCTTCCAAACTTCTCATATCTCACTCCCTCTATTTGGAGTCTTTCGGAGGAGTTAATTTGTTTTCTCTTTATTGCTTTTTCAACTTTTTTTATCAAAATACATTTGACGTTTGTACATAAAGGTATCTAACTTTCTATACTTTTAATTGCAACAATAGTGCTCAAAAATAACAACTTCATATACTATTCTAAAATAAGATTTCTTCCTTGATCCATTCAACCAAACATAGCATATTTCTGAACTCTTCCGTTTTCCTCCCTTCCCTCCCCTTTTGTGAATCTGACTCTGAAGAAGCAGAACCACCATGCAAAGATAAAAGTTACATGAATTTTTCAATATTTTCTAATAAATAAAAAACAAATGCACAAAATAATAACATGATATAATACTCAAGAAGCTCATACTGTGCTGCAGTTATACTCAAGACAGTCAGCAGTTCCCATCCGTGTGAATATGCGATCGAAAACCCTCAAATTGGCAAAGCGTGCAGGTACATAGCATCCAATTTGAGCAACAATGACAATGAGACATACTTGCTGAAGATATGTACTTTTGCCGCTCCTACAAAAACATATAGAATTATGCTCTGGAAATTGGAAAAATGCATCTAAACCAAATTCATAATTAAGATACTCTAAGAAGATTCATTTAATGATTTAACACTTCACCTTGCAACATTTAATTTTTTAAATATGAGCAACTTTGTAATAGTCATGCCAAATAATATACATTTCCATTGTAGGATTTCTTACATGTTAGGCCCCATCACGATTCCCATATTTGATGCTTCAGATAGAAATATATTATTGGGCTGTAAAAGAGAAACATATAATCATTTTTTGTTCAAGTTCATAAAAGAAGGAAACTCAACTAGGCAAGTGAAGTAAATAAAGAGATATATTACAATGAAATCAGTGTGTATGCTTTCTAGAATGGGGTGCCTGCCAGAATCAATTGCTAATGGACCATCACCTACAAGAAAACAGTCAGAACAACAAAAACCTTGACCAATTTTCATGTACTTTCAATCTATTTAACCCCCTATGTAAATATTTCGTTCAATCAACATACACACTCGCAGATTTATCCAAGTGAATTTATACAAATAGATACTAGAGTACCTTACCATAATACTTACATGTGAATTGAGGTCTAATATATCGATCAACAGGTTTTGTTGAAATCATATGAGCAAATGAGTTAACTACCATGTCTAAAAGGCATAGGACTTCAGAAAGAAGTGTGAGCACAGAAACATCCTGCCGTATAACATCCATTAGCTCTGCACATTAATAAAGGAGGGAGTGTCTTTTAAATAAATATAATAGTAGTTTGAAAAGAATGAAGAGTAAAGTACTTTTGTTGTGTCATCAAGTGGACAGATAGCATTACCACGGACTACAGCCTTCAATATTACCTTCTAAGCAAACCTCCGTCCTAATGTAGCATTCCTTAGTTGCAGACTTATTGCGCACATTCAACTGCATGGTAAGCAATGAAAAAACACAAATCAATCCTCTAGAAATTTATCTTTCCACACAAATACGCAAGGGCTGATGGTGCAGTTAATAGCCTTTTCATCCCCTATGCAAACATCTTTCGACTAAAACATCAATACTCATACTAGGAATATATCAAAACTCCAAAATATTCAGAAGGAAAGTAGGATAGTTACATTTTAGGCCCCTAAATTTGACACGCTAGTCCCATTAAGCCTCTGAAGTTCTAACTTTTTAAGTGGGCCTATTGACCAGGTCATTAGTAAACTTCAACCAATTAAACCTCATTTTCAGCTCCGTCGTGTTTGTGTAATCATGTAGTTTCACACGCAAATTTTCACCACTTGCGGAACCCACACCATATCCCATATGTATTAAATGAGTTAAATACTCAAGTGCATTGGCACAATAATGCCCATAGACTTCAAATCAGGCATGTCAACAATCAGGCTTGTTAATTGCAGGCTCACTGCCAAGGTAAGTCGTTCAGATCGCTGTCATTGCAGGCTGAAGAATAAATGGTTTTAGCGTTTAGTTGAGGAGCTGAAGTTTACTCCTAACACACTTTGTATATCAAGTTTATAGTTTACAGGCTTGAATGTATTTCTGGAAGAAAGAAAATATTTAACTTTGCATGCCAAATATAATTAGAATTTCCCTTAGGATACCGAAGCCCTTAGAACTGCCCTTATACAAAGCCATATTTTCCCTCCCTCCAAATATATACACATTGTGTTCAGCCAAAGTCATGCAATTAAGAAATATTAGCAACTGGGATTTTATGTGTTCTATAGTTACTAGAAAAGTTATATAAATCAATGACTACACAGTGACTCAAGATAAAAACTTCCAATGCTTACAGATACAAATTGTGGTTGTTTTAAGCCTTTATCCTATACTTAATTGGGTTAACCACTTAACCCATACTGATATCATCGGTTTGCATTGTGATATTGTCAGATGAACAAATGACATGCACTGATAAAGACTACACAATAAAGTGAATAAACCATATGTTCATCATGTATAAAAATAATATATTCAAACAAAAGTGTGCAGAAAAACAGCACATTAACAAATTAAGTGGTCATGATTCTCACTGAAGCAAGCTCCACACTAGAGCAATGAATGTTGTTACCATGCTTTATAACCTGAAAGTTTGCAAACGATTAAACAAAAGAGACAGCGCCGGAGTTTACACAGTTCTGAAGTTGGATAAAGCATTCCAGTTTCTAACCTGGATAAACTTGTTCGGAAGTCTTCCCTGTATACTCTTTTGTGGAATGCTGAAGTAAAAGCCTTGCCTGTTATTGAATGGGAGTTTCAAACTGGGCAGTTTAAAATCTTCACGGTACTTATTTGCAAGGTTGTGAATGGCTGTAAAACTAACACATATCAGATCAAGCTCTAGAACTAGAAAGTGCACATTAAAGAAACGGAATCAAAAAATAAGAATGATGACAAACCTTCACTAGTTTCACAGAAGGACCTTCGAGCCATATCAAGAAGTCCATCGACTCCAGCCTTTACAGCAAAGCACTGCTGTGTTCGCGCAACAAATGGAACCCGTGTATGAAGTACGTCTTCGTCAATCACCTCCCCTATTCTAAAGCAACCAGCTTTTGTCACTTTAGTGTGTCATGCATAAACCTATGCTGTTTTTCAAGACAACTTTCTCGATAATACACTAAAGGGGTGTACTATTAAAGTACATTAACATTGCAAGCTTCATCATTTTAATGACATAATTGGATTAACTACATCTTAGGACTAGTAGCATCTTCCGCGCCAACCGCCAAGATGGTCTAAATGTCTAATACTCCGTAGTAAGTTGAACAAAATAGGAACTATACATCAGAGAGAAATGTATAAAAAGGTAGGTTTTAGTTCTTGAATAAGAAAACAATTATCTTCATGAAATAGATTTGAGGCAGGACTGATATAGCAAGACTCTGAACTGAAAGCACAGCCAATTTAATACGAGTAGTCTTTTTCATTTGACAGGAATAGTCAGTGAACACACACTAGCACACAATTCATTTCAGTGATTTAATACAACCACAACAATACTCAGGGTCTGTCTGGAACTTGGAAAATGCTAGGAAAAAATGAGGAGTAAAACATACGGGAAATCTGGGAGGAGAAAAAATGTAGAGGAAAATAAAATTAAATTGCTTCGCATTTGATTCATTAAGTTTGGAAATTTATTGAACTCATTTTACTTAAATATTTATGTTATTATAAAAACTATAAAATTCAAAAGTATTACTCCCCTCTTTCAAATTGAATTGCAAAAGTTGACCCGAACAAGAATTAAGGAAGCATAAAAATAAAAATCGCTTTACCATTCTGCCCTTTCTTTCATAAAGAAGAAAAGAAATCCGTAAGATTTCATAAAGTAGAAAGCCGCTTCCCAACAAAGCTGTTTTCCAGAGTAAGGTAAAATTGCCATAGTAATGTTCCAAAAGGTTGAATCCTCAACCCCAAAGGCCCCACACCCCGACCCGACAAGATTTTTGGAAGGATGTAAGTCACGGTGACTCAGTCGGCCTTATACACGTGCGCACCATAGGTCCAGCCCAGCACGCAGGAGTTGTAACCTCCACACGGTCGCTGCGGGTTTCGACCTTGGTCAATGTTCCAAATTTCCCACCACTAAACCAATTGAGCTACCCGGGCTGCTTGGGTAAAATTGCCATAGTAAATTGGAATATGAGGAGGAGAGAGAAGAGAAGCTTGATATGGGTAGGTAGGATAAAGTGAACGTCTATGTAAATTTGAGTGGCTGGGAATTAATTCTGGCTCTAAATGTAGAGGTTAGCAGGTGTGAGCCATATAGTGTAAGGGTACATTTGACATTATATTCCTTTCACTTTACTTAAAATTAAATAGAGTGGAAAATCATTTTGGGACATTCAGAAAAGGAAATTTTCCCAATTGGGTGTAGAGCTACACATATGCTTCTCTTATTGCTGTCCTTAAAATAAAATGAATCATCACAATGCTATTTTACACATTGAAAAAGTCTTTTTTGAGTATAAATATGGAGACATTTAAAATAGCAGTGTGAGTATAAATTACATTTGGTTTAGTAAATTTAACTGTCCTACATACGATAGTATATTGCTAGGTAAAAACAACACCATTTTCCTAGTTCTAAACATAACCTTAAGGAAGAAGAGCAAGGGTTCACTTCACTGCCCTACCATAAAGCATTTTGAGAACAAACAATTTCTGGTGAGTGAAGAAACATGGTACTGGAGTCAAATAAGCCATGAAGACAAAGGCATGTTTTTTGAGTGTACCTTTTCCTTATGGATGCATATTTCTCATTTTCACATGTGGACTTGTACACATTTTTGAGCAAAAAACTCTTGGCATCTTTAAGAACCTAAACATTATAGGCACACCAATTATACCAGGCTGATAAAAACCGACGCAATGACTACTATAAAAATCAGAATACACCTTGGAAAGTAGGGGCAAGGCATCCAAAGCTGTTTTCAGTAGAATAATACTTGATATCAAAATTTGGCTCCTCCGCGCATTGTCATTTACCAATACTTCATTTGTGACTTTTATAGGCTTAAAGCAGAAGTGGCAAAGGACCCTATCTGAGTGCATGACAATACTTCTCTTGTATCAGCCATAACTAAAAAACAGTCAATGGGGATCAAAAGAGGTATCATCTATGCTACATCGATTGAAAGTTAACTACATACCTGTTTCTTTGGGAAACTTACGAAGAGCTTGAGACAAGCCAAAAAACAGCTGCTCATTGCTCATCAATTCATCCTAGGGTCACGTATTCAGCAACCAGTATAGGTAAGGAATATTAAAGCAGAGGCATTATCAAAGAGTAAAATGTGGTAGTCTCAGGATGGATAATGTAACAAGTAAATTTCCATGGTTGGCTAAAGAATCGAATAAGCATTCTGAAGCACAGACACTTCTAAAGAGGTTAATTATGTATGTTTGATCACGCTGGGGCCTGGGGACATGCCTAAAATGCAACCCCCTCTCCCCCACAACATAGCTAATTACATAGCTAATAACTGAGGGGACAAAATGTTAAAAAGAAAATACCTATGTTATTGATAGAGTTAATATTGCTGTCATTATTACTAATATCATTGTTATTATTTTTATTACTATTATTATATATACTCCCTCCGTCCCAATTTGATTTGCAAAATTTCCTTTTTTGGTTGTCCCAAAATGGTTTTCCACTTTCTATTTTAGGTATGTAAATAAGAATAAAGTGACAAATTTACCCTTACTTTTACTTTTTCCCTATTAACTTAAAAGCATCTACTTTTAGAAAGATGGGCAAAAGTGTAAAAAGCAAGCATCATTTATTGTCATTTCTTAATCCTTGTGCCGGTCAAAGTTTGCAATTCAATTCGGGACGAAGGGAGTATTAGTTATCGTGTCCCCGCCATACTGATCGTCATCCCGCATGTATGTGTAGCCTGTAACTCACGTCACTCACTGAGTCACTGAGTCCATGTTCATGCTTCATAGCTTAGGCATGAATCCCATCTTAATGAGTAAATCAGAGCACTGACCAGGCAGTTAAGGCGAGCATTAATAGTTTCAATGTCCCTCAGTGGCTGCAACAGGTTTGCTCGAAGAAGTCTAGTCCTACAGAGAATTACAATTAATCAATTTGACATACTATGAGGAATACTAAGTCTAGTCCTACAAGAGAATTACAAATAATCAATTTGAAGCCAATGCTATTTTAAACAAAGTTACAGATGTTCTCCATTTCAATGTCACATATGTTGGCTATGTCTAAAATTAAAGAGCATTAGAAGCATGCAGTAGGTGGAACCGTGAAGGTGGTCAAACATAGCAAGTTTTTCAATGGAAAGATATATAGCTAAACATAGCAGCAAAGTAGCAAACAGTTTTTTAAAAACCTGACAAGTAAGTTAAACGGGGAAACAAACTTCCTAGCAATATGCATGATAGAGCCAGTTAGTCCTTTCATGTTGCACATGAGCTACCATAAGTGCTAATCTGTAGCTATGTGCTCTCTGTGGTTAAATATCTCATGTAGGATTAAGAAATATATGCTGATATAAAAAATAGCTACATTGAAGAAATATGTGAATATCAGAATATGTCATAAGCAGGGAAACTCAGTTAAAGAGCTTCAACATGTGCACAATTAGAGGAAGGGCCAGCCCAGTATGCCATAAAACAATGAAATGCAAAATAAATCATTTGTCTGGCAGTTGGCATACCCTCCAAATGTTCTGGTTGTCTTAAGCATTTGGAATAGGCTTCTCTTCTTATTGTTTGTCCCCAAAAGACTAGTGTGCATTGGCTCTATTATCTCCAGGTTCTGGACACTGATAACAAATAAAAAGTATAGCATCCAGATTTAACGTTTTTCCAACACTTGCCACTACAACTAACCCACTACCAGAAGACATACAATGGCTGATAAAGGATTTTAGTTGCAGGTGTGATGAAGGAGACTTAAGGATCAATACTCTACAGTAGTACAAAAGAAAAATTGTTATTAACAACCATACCTGGTAGAATCAATATTCATGTGGTCAAATGATCCATTAAAAGTGACCTGGAACAAAGACAGACTTTACTGCTTAGTCTCACCCCCAACGGACATACAGAAGCAAGAACATTTGTTTTAGTTTGATCTTGAAGTGCAGATTTATTATTATTTGGTATGTAAGAATTAGGAGTTCAAACGAATGCTTGATGCGTTAGAAGTATATCAAGCATTACTTAAGTATACATGTATGAGGTACACATATATTTATTTATTTATTTATTGTACAACAACATCTAATCCTTAGTCCCAAAAGATTTTGGGGTCGGCTAACATGAATCTATAGATGATATCGGAGCCAAAAGGAAAAGAAAGATAAGAAAGATACAAAGATAAGATATGATAAAAAAGATCAAAAAAATAAAATAATATAAAGATAAAGATAAATATAAGATAAAGATTAAATGATAAAATAAAAAGGATAAAAAGAATATATACAAATAAAAAGGATAAGAGGATAAAGAAGATAAGAAAGATAAAGAAGATAAAAGGGGAAAAAAGATTTTAACTTCTGCATTCTGACTATTCATTCACCTCAGAGAGTTCCATGAATCAGCATGCAGGTTTTCAAACGGTGAGCAACAAAGTATAACCAGAAATTGATTAATTTCCCTAGTAACTTTCAAACCATTTCCATCACTAGCTGTCATGCTTCCTGTGCAGATGACATGTAGAAATCTGAAGCCTTGGATAGAGGTTTCCTTTTCTACATCCTTACTTCAAGGTTGGGTAAAGCATGACTGCATGAGAAATAAGCACTTACTAGCAATGAGTGACTTGTAACAATGACCCCTTTCTCCGCTTCAGTCCTTGCATGACAGAAACCACATTTACGTTACGATCTATATAGCTCAATCAAGAAAATCAAACAAAACACAGAATGGATTTTCATATTGTTTACAGATATGGTGACCCTGCGTTTGCACCTTGGTTCATAAGTTTTACAGGTCATCCAGCAGAATAATGGGTCATTACTATCAGATGGGTGAGAGCTTCAGAGTGCAGATGCATATTAAGTTATATTAATACTTGTTACATAACCTACTCATTACACCATAATGACTTTGAATTAGTCAAATATAAACTTGACAGAAAATTTGTAAAGCACAATAATCAGAAAATGTTCAGAAATCAGTCATCATAAATGAAAATAAACTGTCCAGAAAATATTGAAAAATGAGAGGCACCAGTGCACCACTATGTTTCTTTGTTAATATTTATTTGTTCTGCAAGAAAAATATACTAAATGACTGAAGGCTAAGAATTACATACTCCTTATCTGTCAAAAACCATAAAATATCATCTGTCAGAAACTATCACTACTTGGTCAAGAACATTTGCTTTTCAATCACAACTAGAAAAATTAAATAAAGGGTGAACATTTTATGTAAAATTTTAAAATACCACTTAATGATTGCTGCTGCAGCACCCAAGCATAAATAGTATTGTTTGTAGTACGAGTCCAAACCCAGTGCAGAGGGTTCCTTCGCAGCTAAGTTTTTAATTACGCCAGCTCCCTTAAAATGTCACTAGTTTAGAAAAAAGTAACCATCGAACAAGCAATATAAAAGCAATATAAATGCAATGAGGACGTTGAATTGTTTATGGTTTAAATTACCCTGGTATCATCAAACGATCCACGCACCATTGTGACCTGCAGACACCCAAATATTTATGTATATAAATCCCTCAGCATAATACATCTACGAGTAGAAGTGTGTCATGTTCAGAGGAAATTGCCTTCCTTATTGTGGAATAAAATCTGTCTGCTAATTGTGAGACTCCAACCATGTTATCAGCAGCCAATCTATTTGGGGGGACAATGATTACCATAGGTTCATAGAAATCCAGCAGTGTCTTCGTATTCTGATAGGAGCTGCTAGTCTCAATGTACTGAGAAAGATGCAGAGAAGCTGATCTCAGATCAAAAGCAGCTACCCCAACCTGTGATAAATCAGTGTTTAACTGAGAGATGCTCAAGTTCAACATACATTGAGCTCAAAAAAGTATATTGAGCAAAAGAAATCAATAACTGGAATCAACTTGACAAAAAGCAATGTGTCAATGGGTGCCGTCAAGACCACTGAATAAATTGCATCAATATAGAGTATCGCTTTTAATCCAAATGTGTTAGAAACAATGTAAGCAATTACTCCATATCGATTTGTAGGCAATCGTACATTATGCGATCCACATTTAATTTCTCTCA